CTCAACAAGACTCCTAAAGCACAAGAAGTAAAAACAAGGATCAATAAATGGGATGGAATCAAACTAAAAAGCTTCTTCACAGCACAGGAAACAATCAAGAACATGAACAAAGAGCCCACAGAATGGGAGAAAAATCCTTGCCACTTGCACCTCAGATAGAGCATTCATCTCCAGGATATACAAAAAAACTCAAAAAACTTAACACCAAAAAAAAAAAAAAAAAAAAAAAATCAATAAATGGGCAAAGGAATATAACAGTTACTTCACAGAAGAAGAAATACAAATGGTCAACAAATATATGAAAAATGTTCAACATCTCTAGCAATTAGAGAAATACAAATTAAAACTACACTGAGATTTCATCTCACTACAGTCAGAATCAAGAATACAAGTAATAATAAATGTTGACAAGGATGTGGGGGAAAAGGTACACTCATACATTGCTGGTGGGAGTGCAAATTGGTGCAACCACTCTGGAAAGCAGTATGGAGGTCATTAGGCCCATTTATCCCATTCCGCGGCATATACCCAAAGGACTTACTATAGTGACACGGCCATATTAATGTCTACAGCAGCTCAGTTCACAATAGCTAAACTATGAAACCAACCTAGGTGCCCTGTAAAAGATAAATGGATAAAGAAAATGTGGTATATATAAACAATGGAATATTACTCAACCAATTATGGCATCTGCCAGTAAACGGATAGAACTAGAGGATACCATGCTAAGTGAAATAAGCCAATCCCCCAAAACTAAAAGCAAAATGTTCTCTTTGATTTGCCAATACTGACTCCTAATAAGGGGGAAGGAGGACTACAGTTCACCAGATTGGACAGGAGGTAATGGGGGGAAAGGATGGAGGATGGGAATGGGAAAGACAGTAGAATAAATTGGATATAACTTTCCTATGTTCATATATGAACATACCAGTGTAACACCACATCATGTACAACCACAAGAACGGGAAGTTATACTCCATGTATGTGTGATTGTATGATATGTCAAAATACATTCTACTGCTATGTACAACTAAAAAAAAAAGAGAGAGAGGGAGTGACTGGGTTAAATGACTGTGTGTGTGCGTGTGTGTGTGTGTGTGTACATAAATCATCCAAATATTTACTTTTTTTTTTAAAGAAATGTTTGAGGAAGCATTCAGTAAATAGGAATGCTGAAAGTATGAAATAATAGGTACTTTTCTGCCTACTTTAGACAGGATTAAGAATTAAGATAAAATTTATATGAAATAAAAAACAGATACTTAAGTAAAATATTAAAGTGTTTTGACAAATTGTATCTTAAAACTATTAAATAGCTTAATGAAATACTTCTGTGTTATCATCAAGGTTACAAAATAAGATCATTACATTTGCCAACTAGAGTGGAACCTAAACTCAGATTTAAAATGTTGCGCCATTTAGGCACAGATAATACTTTTCTGTTTAAATTTAAAGTGCAAAGAATATGATTTAATTTACATGTCACCAACTTTCCAACAATAATCGAGGGCAAAGTATATAAAAAAATTTTTAAAGGTTAATTTAGAGTAATAAGTCTAAGTTTATATGAATGGTACAAGAAAATTTCAAATGAAATAAATTATAAATAACTGAAACTTAGGAATATACTGCTGAGCATCAAAAGGAGACCTTGAGGCTATCAAAAAAGAAGTGAAGAGGAACAAGAAGAACTGTTGCTCAGAGAACAACAGAGAACTGAGAAGGAAAAGCTGAACTTTTCAACCCCCAGGTTGCTTATCTTCTTAGTCAAGGAGGTATCAATAAGAAGACTTGTTAGTCTTCTGATGTATCAAAAGCATCACCAGAAAATATTGACATGAGTTTTGTTCCCTTGGAACATTTGCTGTTATTAATATTTTTTAGAGACACAAACTACTCAATACCTAATTCAACCATAGCCAGCACATGGTAGTCACATACAACTAGGTTTTTTGGCTGCTTTTTATTATGGGATCCAAACATGAATAAAAAACCATCTGACTTCTTTGAAAAGAATTTCAGTGATATCTGATCCTCAAAATTACTAATATCCGTGATAAAAAGGGAAATATCACAACGGACACTACAGAAATACAGAAGATAATTATTTTGAAAAATTGTACTCTTATAAAATAGAAAATATTAAAGACACTGACAAATTTCTAGAGTCATATGACTTGCCCAAACTGAATCAAGATGATATACACAATTTAAAGAGATCAATTTCAAGCAATGAAATAGAAGATGCTACCAGAAGCCTATTGACCACAAAAAACCCAGGACTGGATGGATACACAACTGAGGTCTACAAGGCCTTTAAAGAAGAATAGCAGTACTCCTCAAATTATTTCATGAAATAGAAAAAGAGGGAATACTTCCAAATTCATTCTATGATACCAATATTTTTCTTTTTATATAGAACACCTCAAGTTTTTCAGTGCATGCATCTCTCTAAGTATTTGCATCACTGTTGCCTTTTCCTTTCCCCCTTTAATCACCATAGTGTTTTTAATATTTTACTGAGTTTTTGCTCTCTCTTCTCAAAGAATCTGTTGGCCCTTTGCATTTTGGGTCTTATAATTTGATCCAAGACATCTATGGCTGCCACAGCCCCAGGCTACTGAAATCACAGACAACATCTTATGAAATATAAAAGAAGTCCCTTTTCTATAAGACTAGATATAATTATATATTGTACATGCTTATGTCAAAAATGTAAACTATGCCAGAAAATAATAATAAAATTTCCTAGTCTTCACATTATAAGAAATTATGAAAGCCACATGAACTATGTTATATCTTCATTTTTAAAAAGCCTAAATCTATACTTATTGGTTCTTAGCTTTTACAATACAGTAAATATACTGGGCTGGGGATGTGGCTCAAGCGGTAACGTGCTCGCCTGGCATGCGTGGGGTGCTGGGTTCGATCCTCAGCACCACATAAAAATAAAATAAAAATATTGTGTCCACCGAAAACTAAAAAAATATTAAAAAATTCTCTCCCTCTCTCTCTAAAAAATATAGAGATGCTAGAAGTGATGGCTAATCAAGACAAAGCAAATACACAATATTTGTACATTTCACTATTTCTAAATTTCACAATGAAAAGAAAAAAAATAAGATTTAAAAAATATATTTGAAGCCCCAAAGTGCAAGATGGAACAGATACTATAAATTATTTGCTTCTGAAAAAAGAAGTGCTTATAAAGGATTTAAAAAATAACTTTGGGGGGCTGGGGATGTGGCTCAAGCAGTAGCGTGCTCGCCTGGCATGCGTGCGGCCCGGGTTCGATCCTCAGCACCACATACAAACAAAGATGTTGTGTCCGCCGAAAACTAAAAAATAAATATTAAAGTTCTCTCTCTCTCAAAAAAAAAAAAAAGCCTCCTGCTCCCCTTGATGGGCAGAATCACAGCCTCTGGGACAGGAGTTCTCTGTGCTTCTCCTTTAAATAAATAAATAAATAAATAACTTTGGGGCTGGGGTTGTGGCCCATTGGAAGAGCCCTTGCCTAGCATGTTTGAGGCACTGGGTTCGACCCACAGCACCATATAAAAATAAATAAATAAAGGTATTTTAAAAAATGACACCATGTTTAAAAGAAAAATAACTTTGGGAAGAGTAAGTATACTGTTTATCTTTTAACATAGGAGGTTAAAAAGTTAATCATAAAATAATAAATGAAATAAAATATATGTATATAACTGTACCTAAATACTAAAGGAAATAAAATAGTATGGTCACAACTATGTACAAAAGTATCTCTGTTCATTTTTCTCTACTACCTCCTGCATTTCTCAATCTCAGTATCACTGACATTTTTAGTTAAAAAATTTTTCTTGTGCAGGGTAACCTTGTGCATTATAGGCTATGTATCATTATCCCTTGCCCCTATCAGATGGCAGTAGCACCCATTTCTTCCCAGTTCTAATAACCAAAATTATTTCCAGAATTGCCAAATGTACTATGGAGCAAAAAATTGGTCTTGTCTGAGAACCACTGATCTGTATCACCAAAAGCTTCCTAACCAGACAAACAGTATCCCATCATCCTTCTTTGCTCCATTTCATTCTATACACATTATTCAAGGTAGTCTTTTTTGAACTACGCATATGTGCATGTCACTACACATCTGCTCATCGATTAAAACCTTGCAGTGGATTTTTTCCTTGTTTTTAGGATTTAGTCCTAACTTCTGAGCACATTTTACACAGTCTAGCCTCTCCCTACCTCTATAACCCCATTGGGAATCACACTTTTCTCTCTCTTCATTCCAAACCTTCAAACATGATAGGGTCATCACCATTCTCTCTCCTCAATTTTTCTCTTCCTATAAGCCTCTCTTCACTTCATGTCTCATTAACTCCTATTTAACCTTCAGATCTCGGGTAATATAGTGCTTTTTCAGGGAAATCTATCTAAATCTCACTGGCTAAGTCAAATACCTATTCTAAGTTCATAATGCACAACATTCCTTGGTAGCATCTATTATTATAGTGATTTTTGCATTGCCTGATATAGTTATGGTGCCTCCCTCATTCCCAGGACAGTGTGTATTTTGCTCATCATTATATTTCTAAAGACTAGCCCCTGGTAGATACATATTAAATATTTTCTTGGCCAGGCTCAGTAGCACCTGCCTATAATCCCAGAGACTCAAGAGGCTGAGGTAGGAGGATCATAAATTTGAAGTTAGCCATGGTAACTTAATGAAACCCTGTGTCAAATATAAAAGGTAAAAGGCTTGGGATGTAGCCCAGTGGTAGAGTATCCTTGGGTTTAATTCCCAGAACCAAGAAAAAAATTTTTTTTCTCAATGAAATGAATGAAAATGTGCATGTGTACACACATAAACACAAAGACCGCAAATTAAGATTGATTGTGCTTGGGTGGTAGTATCTATGAGTTCTAAAAGAATCTTCTATATATTCCAAATTGCCTTTAATATAAATTACTAGTATAACCATAAAAGAAAATAAAAAAATATATATATACACCTAATGGTTGCAGTAAATATCTTCTGGTATTGAAAATTCTTGCTACTCCAGCCAATGTTAATACCCATGTCTCAGCCCACTGCTTCTCTGCTGTATCTCTTGAATGATGAATGAGAATATTGCCACCTCCAGATTCAATCTTTTCTTTGTCTGCAGTTGTAGAAGACTCTCGAACTCGGTCCAGTAGATGAAAGAGAACCTAAATATTTATAAAAATGTCATACAAAAATATTGATACTTAAGTAACAGTGTAGAAAACCAGAAGCTGTATAAAAAATATTTATACCTTACAGTCTTATTCTTTTTTTTTTTTTTTTGGTGGTATTGGGGGGTGAACCCAGAGCCTCCTGTATGCGAGGCAAGCACTGTACCAACTGAGCTATATCCCCAGCCCTCTGACAGTCTTATTAATCCCCATATTAGATGAAACTGACCAATTAAAGTAACCATATATTTTCAAGTCATATTTAAGGTCATGAAATATAAAACATTAAAATAAACTAAACAGAACATCATGTAAGACTTGTTATCAATGGGACATCCATGGAGATAATGTTAAAACAACAAAAACAACAAAGGTTAAGGAGAAGGTTCCAGGCAAAAAATATATTTATGGAAGATATCCAAATTGAGGTTACAACTGAAGCTCTAGGACTAGCTAAGGGTGCTAGAAAGAAAAAAAAGAAAGAAAGAAATCAACAAGCAAGAATTAATTATAATTTGGGGAATATTTGCACTTAGGAATAAGCACAATGAAAAACAAAATTAAAAATAAATAGAGAAATATATACATGCTGTGAAACAAAAGATAAAGAAAGAAAATTTCAAGAAGATAATAACATTAAATGCTAACAAAAAATAAATAGGACTAGCACTGGGTATAGGCCAAAGGACTTGGGAAACAGAAGACCATCTATAGTCTATGAATGATTTCTGTGGTTCTCAAAGTATGGTTTTGGAACCAGCAGCATCAGCGTCACCCAGAAGCTTAACTGAAATGTGAATTTTCCTGAATTTTCCACTCCAGGCCAAAAAATCTGAAATAATGGAGGTCAATTCTAGGGTGGAGCTAGAAACCTTAAACAAATCCGCTAAATGACTCTATCGCACTCTAATGTTTAAGAGACCTTACCCTGAAGTAGAATAATTTGGAAATCAAATTACAAGGAACAAGGGAATGGGGAAGTGAGGAAGAAAAAAATCATTGCAACTTAGGCAACAAAAATATTAAAAATGAAGCTACTTAGCTGGGACTATCTGATTGGGAGGATGAGGCGGAAGGTTTACAAGTTTGAGACCAGCATGGATAATTTAGTAAAACTCCCTGAAAACAAAACCTAAAAAGGGCTGGGAATAGCACTCAGAGAGGTAGAATGTATCTGGGGAGGAAAAAAAGAAGCAGAAGCTATTTAAAAGCAAAACAAGAATTAGAAAAAATGTTCATTAAAAAAAAAAGAGGGACTTTGGGCTAAGGTTGTAGTTTAGTGGTAGAACACTTCCCTAGCAGGTGTGAGGCACTGGATTTGATCCTCAGTACCACAGAAAAATAAATAAATAAATAAAACTAAGGTTAAAAAAAGAAAAGAGGGACTTAAGCATGTTTGGGATCTGAGGAGGAGCCAAGAGACAGAGGTGAAACAGAAGACAGAAGCAAACAGGGCTTTTACCATTAACATAAAATTTTTACTTTTCAGTTAAATTATTTTTAACTTTAATTTTTAATTATTTTTAATAAATAAAAATTTAAACAATAAGGATGGAAAGATGGTTTTAATTCTTTTTAACTAAAGAAAATATATTATTAATTTTTAAGAAAATATTTTGGGGTCTATTATAAGGTTTCAACTCTATTATAAGGTATTGTTGGTTTCACAAATCCTTGTTTTACCTTTTGGAAAACAAAGGAGTGAAAAAAAAGAAAAGCACAGATAGAACATGAGACAAAAAATAAGAGATGAACAACAGAAATGGAACTTTTAATATTTAACTTTTTCTGTGGGAGGTATAATTTTAAAATATGACATTTTTTTTTGTCTTGTCAAATATACAAATGCATGGAAACTCTTTAAAAAATAAAAAGAAACAAGTTTAACTGAAAAAAACAAATACACTATAAAAGCATGTCTCAACTAAAAGCTGAAAGCCCAAGCTACTTTATAGTACCTTCCAAATAACGGTGTGCCAGGTTGAATGCTGTAATAAAGTTCCATGTGCACCAATTGTAGAAAACAGAGTCTGCCCTGCACTCTTTCTGACAGCAGGACGGGGGTCCACACACAATTCACCCAATTTTGCATAAAGACATAACCATAAGCAATCAAATGGTGGCGCAGGGTGGAACGGCCGATTTAAAATCACTCCTTTCTCTTCTGCCTGCTTTTGCTGTGCTGCCTCTTCTTTATTTAATTCTTTTTCAATAATTTCTCCTCTTTGGAAAAAATAATCTGAAATATTCCACTAAGGAAAAAAGCAGAAAAATATCACTTTATTCACAGATTTTGTTTTAAACACATAAGTTAATAAGTAATGTGGTTGTTTCACTTTTCATAGTAAAACATTTAAAAAATTACTTCATAAATCTCCTTTCTCATAGAATAAATTCAATGGAAACATCTTTACTTCCTCTATCATGTTTCGGATTCCAGGAGAACAATCCATCTTCTCTAGCACTATCCTGCTCCCCTGACCTTTTTTTTTTTAAATGTTTTTTTTTAAAAGTTTTTTTTTAAACTTTTTTTTTTTTTTTTTTTTTTGTGAAAAAGTTAAAGTACATGCAGAAAACAAGGAGAATATAAGGTACTTCAATGTATTAATATACACCTTGATAAAACAATTGCTAAAACATAACCAATAATACCATTACTATCATAGTTAAATTACTAACAATGCCTTAATATCATTACACAATAACTGTATAGTCTTCCTTCCCTCCCTCCCTCCCTCCCTCCCTTCCTTCCTTCCTTCCTTCCTTCCTCTCTCTCTTCCTTTACTTGCAGTACTGGGGATTGAACCCAGTGGTACTCTACCAATGAACTACATCCCTAAACCTTTTTGGTTTGTTGGGACAGGTCTCCCTAAATTGCAGACGCTGGCTTCAAACTTGCAATCCTTCTTCAGCCTCCCAAGTAGTTGGGATTATAAGTATATGACACCATGCCCAGTTTTTATTTATAATTTACATACAAAAAAAGAACAATTACTATCTTCAAGCATGCCTATAACTTTATTCTCAACCAAAATATAATAAGAGAATTAATGATAATTTATGCCATTGATAAAAATGTAGGGGATCCAATACTGTAAACATAAATGTAAAATAAAAGACGTGACACCTGCAGTAAATAACAATGAACTAACCAACCACTTGTGGGAAGCAATTTTATATATAACATGCTTTTTTTTTTTACATAATTATATTTTTAATATTTTTTTAGTTGTAGTTGGACACAATACTTTTATTTTATTTATTTTTATGTGGTGCTGAAGACGGAACCCAGCACTTCACACATGCTAGGCAAACATTCTACCGCTGAGCCACAATCCCAGCCCCACATAATTATATTTTTAAGAGTAAACTACTAACTTATCTAGCTTGTGAGGGAATTATTTATTTATCTATTTATTTGAGGTACCAGGGACTGAACTCAGGAATGCCCAGCCACTGAGCCACATCCCCAACCTGTTTTTTATTTTCAATTTTGAGACAGGGCTTCACTAAGTTGCTGAGGGCTTTGAACTCACTATCCTCCTGTCTTAGCCTCTTGAGCCACTGGGATTACAGCATGTGCCACCTTGCCTGGCTTGTGAGGGAAATTTAAGTTCAACTTTATAAACCGTCTGCATTATAATATGTATTTTTAAAACTCTAAACAATTGTCTTAAATATATAGCTCCTTTCATGTTGACTTCATATAATGTTGACAATATCCTAACTTAGATTTTATTATTTCTTTTTTCAAAATGTGTAAAATGAGGCTCAGAGGTCTATAACTCAAGAATAAGAGTCAAATATAATTCATATTTTATATATATCCCCCAGAGCCCAGGGTCTTCTCCTATGATTTCTTGTCTCCTAGACAGGACTATGTAAATGGTACAGAATTCTATTGAAGCTTTACTTACAAATGAATAGTCCAAGAAAATGTTATTAAAGTATATTTAAAATCAGTAAACTTTCACATTAAAATTAACTAATGGTTTTCCTTATGTATATATAATTTGTTTACTACATCATCTCACAACAAACCTTATAAAAGTCAATCTTCAATATATCAAAAGTTCTCCAAATATTCTGCTATTATGAATTATTTCTTATGTTATTTAATTCTTCATGGAAGATATATTTGATATTCCAGTCATTCAAATAATTTTCTTAGAGCCAAAACCATACTTGTTTGGCATTCACTTCCAACTGTATAACAGTAATTTCTAAGTTATACTATCGTAAGAAAGGCAATGATACTTACCAATAAACCTATTGAAGTTAAACTAATATTTAATTCTTGGTTATGAAGTCCAAAGCTACCTGCAACATCTACAACTATCTGTAAGCAAGTACAAGGCATTGTTGGTAGAAAATCTGTCACAACTAATTGAAGACACTGGAATGCGGTTCGTATCAAGGATTCTCTGAAAACACAAAAGAAATGTATATTGATGCATTTAAAAGAAATGTGTAAAAGCATATACCTTACAATAATTTGAACAAGCAAAATTTTATTTTACAATTTTAACAAGAAAACCCTCCCTAATATAGATCATATAGTACTTCAATATTTATAAGTGTAAAAATGATATACTTTCTTTAAAATATACAACTAATAATAAAGAACCTCAGAGATAGTAAGAAATAAAATTAGCAGATTAAGAAAAAGGATATGAAAATGAGTATTAGCAATGTATTATTTCTATTTGTACTTTACATCAAGTAACCAAAAGAAAATTTGGACAATGAATAAGAATGGTAAATTGGCATAGCTACTTTTCTCTCCATTGTATCCCCAATATCTTACACAATGCCGTGCACATGTTAATAACCATAATTTGCTCAATAAACGAAAATATGTTCTTCATTCTTTTATAAATATTCAATTATCTTCTTTAAATCTTCAAAGGAATATAAAATTCTATGAATGTAAACTGCAAGAAGAGTGAATTTTGAATTTCAAATAAAAAAAATAAAAAGAATTTGGTTTTGAAGAAAAATTCTGATGGTAAATAATGAAAAGGATGGTTATAATAACTACCTTTTATTAGTATGTCATGTACTTTTTAAACATTTTCCACATATTAATTCATTTCACTTTTATAATGTCCTATTATATACACTGAGAAAAATAACTTCAACTTGATCTAAGCTGATCTCCCTTTGCCTCTTTTATTTGGGGGGAGGGAGGTGTAGTACTTGGGATTAAGCCCAGAAGCACACTAACACTGAACTGCATCCCCAGCCCTTTTTATTTTTTATTTTGATAGGGTCTCACTTAGTTGTACAGGCTGGTCTGGAACCTATTACCCTCTGCCTTAGTCTTCCTAGTTGCTGGGGTTACAGGTGTGCACCATTATGCCTAATTACCTCAATATTTTATAGCATTTAAGAAAATTTACTGGGCTGGGGTTATGGTTCAGTGGTAGAGCACTCGCCTAGCATGTGCAAGGCCCTGTGTTCGATCCTCAACATCACATAAAAATAAATCAACAAAATTAAGGTATCGTGTCTAACCAAAAAAATAAATATTTAAAAAAAAAGAAAATTTACTACTATGAACGTTTAAGAACATTTAGTTTTTCTTAATATTTTCAAGTATCTCAATCAGCTAAAACTCCTATACTTATTATAAAATAAGATACTATGAGTCCTATTGCAGAATTATATACAAATATATCTATCCAGTGTCTGCTAAATCTCTCCACTGGAGTTCTACCCTAAATTAAATAAGATCATACATCGACTTCAAATTTGCTCTTCTTTCTGTATTCCCTATATAGTTAATGATACCATCATCCACTAACCTAATTGCCTAAGTCAGAAATTTGAGAATCATGCCTGATTTTCATGCCTCCATATACCTAGAGTTAATTGGTTAAATAACTCAAATCTATCTCCTCTTATTCTTAGAGAGCATTTGTAGACTTTCTTGTTTCCCACCTTAACCTCTTGCTGCTGTCATGGTGGTATCTATGACATCTGCATCTTTTTATAATTTTTGCTTTGTCCCCTTCCACCTAGAGCCTTAATAATTTCATGGCATAACAAATTACTTACTTCCTTGGATTCTATTTTAAAGCCCGAGCTATTTATCTGTATACTCAGAATAACTAGTAAGCACAATATCTGAAATACACAGAATAAGTGTTTAATAAATAAATGCAAGTTATTTTAAAGCAATTTCTTAGATTTCCTCATACACACAGTGAAGTCACACTCCTAAAGGTTATTTTGTATCTTATCAAATATTTGTTTTAACAAATCCAAATCTTATAAAAAGTCTAATCTTTGGGTGTATTATAAAAATTTTTAAATTGGTTTGTTTATCTTATTGTAAATAAGAACCTTGTATTCTAATATAAAGGTCAAACAGCAATATTCCCATCCTTTTAAAACAATGGTAATAATACCTAAAAATTCCCTATAGCCACTTGGGGGTAGTTTAAGAAAAACTATTATGGGTCTTGGATTTATACAGAAAGGACATGCATAAAAAATTACTATACTGCATGATTTTTAGGATGGATTCCCCTTCTACTTGTATTATTTTGGGGATATTAATTTCAAAAACTTACCCTTGATCATTTCTGATTGCTCCCATGACTCCAAGAACCAATGGCCAACCAGGTCCTAGACTGTCTCCCTGACTCTGCAGAATCTGCAACACACATTCTAATTGCTTCAGTCGTATATCTGGATGGTTAATATTGGACATCTCCTTTAATGGATTCAATAAAAGCAATTGCAGTCTCTGAAAAGCAGACAAGAAACTCATTAGGAAGAGAAATTTAAAAAGAGAGGAATTCTTTGTTGTTCCCTTTTTCTTATCTTTATTTATTTTTTCTTTTCTTTTAAGACAACATCTGACTTGTTGCCCAGGCTGGTCTTGAACTTCTGGGATCAATTGATACTTCCACCTTAGCCTCCTGAGTGTTGGATCTATATAGGCATGCACCACAGCACCCAGCTTGTTGCTTTCACTGCTTGTTAAATTCACCATCACTCTAGACTACCAAGGTAAGCAGAATTTTTTTCTACTAAAATAAACATTGAATATGACTTCTCTAACAGTATTCATTAGAGATTTGTCATTTATATTTTTAATGAGGAAAAAAAGCCAAGTTTTTAAGATGTTATATTTCAAGATAAAAGGGTAGGTATCTTACTTTGAAAGATAATAAATATAGAACCATATAAAAATCAATTTCATTAAAGAACATATATCTCTAGCAGTATTTGAAGAGTAGAAAACAATTACCAATTACTAAAATCACCTTTAATATTCTTTATTATTATACTACTACATGTATTCAAATTTAAAATTCCTAAGTGTGATGGAATAAAAGGAATAAAATGTTTAGAAAATGAATAAGTATGGCAAATTCTAACAAAGATGACATAAAACCATGAAATTTGTTGCAGAGTAAACAAGAGCACTTGACTCTATCCTCTTCAGTATCTGAAAGCACTTGCTTCATTTTTTTTTTTCATGTTTTTCTTTTCTTTAAGAGTTCTTTATTTGGTTACTGACTGAACAAATAATTTATTAAGCTCTAACTATACATCAAGTATTAAGGTGAACATTGAAAATACTGGAGAAGTTACACAACTATTTTTTTAAAAAAATTCAAAATGTAGAAAAATATATAAAATCACTAACATGTAAGATGTAAAAGAATATGTATCTTTTCTGTCTTGTTGACTACTCTGTTCCAAGAGCTACGCTGAATAATTACATGTTGAGTAAATTTGTAGAACTGGAATACAATAGATGTGGGGGCAATGAGAATATTTATTAAATGCTTCATTCCTACTCAGTCCTGAAGCAGTAAAACTTTGGTGGACTTTTAAAAACTGTTGCTATGGTTCAGACGTGGTATCCCCCAAAAGCTCATGTGTGAGACAACGCAAGAAGGTTTGAAGAAGTGATTGGGTTGTACGTCAATTTAATCAGTTAATTAATCCCTGATGGGATTAACCGGGTGGAAACTGGAGGCAGGTGGGATGTTGCTGGAGGAAGTGCTTCATTGGGGATATGGCTTTGGGGTATATATTTGTATATGACAATAGGAGACCTCTTTCTCTGTTTCCTGATCACCATGTGAACTGCTCCCCTTTACCACACACTCTGCCATGATGTTCAGCTTCACCTCAAGCCCCAAGAAATGGAGCCTGCTGTCTATGTATGGAGACCTCTGAAACTGTGAGCCCCTGAATAACCTTTCCTCCTCTACAATTGTGCTGGTCAGGCCTTTAGTCACAGCAGCAAAAAAGCTGACTGAAACAACTGTGTAAGATATATGTGAATGATAAAGAGTATCAAAATGATGAATATTTTAAATATACTCTAAAAGTAAAAAATAACTTAAAATTTTAAAAATGAAAATCTATTTTATTGTGCATATTTCTTCTGCCATTTGTTTTCTCTCCATGTAGTATAGCAAAAGGAAAAAGTCAGAGATGTAAGGACCAAAAAGGTCAAAGCTCTAAAATGAAGCCTTAGCACTTCATGAAGAGTAAAACCTGTAAACTAGAAGACCAATCTATGTAATTTATTAACTTAATTCAGTGTCATTCATGAAGTGTTTAAAATTTTTTCATGAAGACCAAGAATCTCTTACCTTTAATAAGACATCAATAGCCTAAATATAAAATAAAACATTTCTAAAAACCCTCTATTAGAATATTATCTACTTGAAAAACTACATATAGAAAAGGATAATTTCATATTAAGTATTCTTTTTTACCTGGTTCTGTGAAAGTGGAGGCTCATGGTTAAATGTTAATCCTGCTTTAATAAGTGAAGTTAAAGCTTCTGCTCCCCATTCTCTCATTCGAGAGTTTGGATGCTGGCAGACCTGAAGGTACATATGTTGAAAAATCAAATATTTAATTTGTGTACATAACTATGAATCAGTTGAGCAAAGAAAAATTAAAATATTACATTTTCTTTTCATCTTTTAAAAATTACATCAAGTAAGGATTGGAAGAAAACTTACATCAAAAATGTCAGTAAGCTTACCTTCTGAATGAGGGCAAGAGGAAGCAACAAAGAGAAGACAAAAGAAAAAAGCTGAAACTAAAACAAGTCACAGAAAAGAAAGGATTTCATAATAGTAAAGGACACATCATCAGAGCAAACAAAAGCGGCAAGCTGAAATACTAAGGTTTTCTTTCTTTTTTTCTTTTCAGTGCTGGAGATTATACCCAGGTCCCTGCAAGTTCTCTAATACTGAACTACATCTCTAATCCCAATGCTAAGTTCTTAATTAAGTTCACAATCAAAGACTGTGATACATTTTAAAAATTTTATCTGTTCCCATTTGATGAGATGATCCAATCATGAAGAAATCAGCTCATATCCTTTACTTATTCTTAAAAATAATTCTGAAAAAATAAAGAGAAAACCTTCTGTATGTCAGTTTTTCTAATAATAACTTTCTCAGGTTTCTAAAATAATATCAAATGACCTCGATAACACAAACCTGAATTGTATATAGACACATGTACTAACACAAGAAGCTGGCTATTAAGCAGCAACTAATTATTAAGAGTACCCTCAAACTGAATGCAAGATAATGTAAATTCGATAAAATCCCCTGGCACTATCTATGGTTAAAAATACCAAATAGATTTTCCCCTAATAGGTTATCTCATAATTGTAGCAAAAATCTGTAAATGAACAGTGTTTACTACTAACTCTCAGCTCCAACTGGCCTAATGGATCATGAGACTGTACAATAAGCTGACAGCTGATTTCTCTGATATTTATCAATTTAAAAATTTCACCCATTTTCAGCCAATAAAAGCAATCTACTCCCTCACCAAACCAATCACTACACAACATTAGTCCTTGATAAAATACACAGATGTAAATGCACAGGAAAGGGGCAAGGAAAGTTAATACTTTGGTTATCTGGAACTACTGGCTCAATGTGGATGTCTTTATTAATAAAAAAAAATAAAATATAATATTTAAGAAAGAGTTTACCTCAAGTAGATGACCAGTGAGAGGTCTCCATAAAATTTCTATTCGGTGCATGTTAACTAGACCAGTTTCTAACAATTTGGCAACAGCAAACAGAGATGGTTCCTAGGGAGAAAACATATTGCATTTTAATATTATAAGGAGAATTCTGAGTACATGAACTGTAAATAAAAACAGAATACTCTAAAGAGCATGAGTATCATTAATTAGCATATATAAAGTTACTTAATAAATATAACAAAACCTATTGTCACAAAACAAGCCTTTCTGTCAAGATATTCTTAACTATTCAGAATAGATCCTAATTAGATTATTTGATTGAAACCGCTTTTACAGGGAAAGGGGAAAGTCCAAAAGTTATACTTAACCTAGAGGATGGCTAACAATAAGAGTACTTCATTTAAACATCTACAAATTTAAAGATTTTTTTATTATATATTTCTAACATTTTTATAGTACTGACAATATCCAATACGGAAATGCTTAATAGTATCTTTCTTAGTAGAAATCAGTGAATTAAGTACATTAAGGTTTTAAGACCCTTCCTGCCTGTGCTAATGTGGAGGTGTATACAAATTTTGATGGCAGAAAAATTAATGATTCTAGAGAAAATATGGTATTGTGGTTGTGAGTGACATCTATGAAGTTTTAACTGTCTGGGATTTCATCTTGATTCTGCCACTTAACAGCTATGTAACCTTAGGTAAATTGCTATCTCTACTGAACTTTTTAATCAGTAACATGGAGATAATAATAGTATAGAAACTACCTCATATCACAAAGTACACGACACATAAGAAATCCCTCTCAAATGATGTCTAGTATTACTTCTTCCCCTTTCTCCTTATTTTAGCCAGAATATACACAGGAATCCTGTATAGCATTTAAAAGAACACAAAGATGCCTAGGATTCACACCTAAACAAGTTTACTCAAGAACCCTAGAATGTAGTTGGCATTTTTACTTTTTAAAAATGCCATAGGTGACTTTGAAAACACCCAAAGTTAAGAGTCACTAGCAAGAGTAAAGCTTTGGGTTGAGAAATAGATAAATTCAAATCCAAACTCTACTGTTTACTAAATAAATGATCTCAGGCAAGTTACTTAAGCTCTCTATTTTCATTTGTAAGAAGAGAAGGCTAACACTGAAGCTCATAAAATTGTTTAAAGTGATTAAATGAATTAAGTCAGTGGTGAGCATACAGAAAACACTCAATGAAAAATAGCTGCTTTAATACTTCTATTGTTACACTGAGCTGGGTAATATGCTTTGCTTCATACTTATTAGCCTCACCTTCTAAGAAAGAATTTACAAACCTTACAATAAATTACATCCATAACACATTAGTGCAAATTCCTGAAATGAAGACCAAAACCAAGATGTTGGTCACTTTAAAGTAATCTCTACAATAGAAATCCCTACATTTAACTCACTCAAAACAGATGACATTGTTAAATCTATTTTCTTAACAATGTAGAAAATTAACTTATATTGATATCTGCATATTTATCACACTTATAATACTTTTTATAGAAGTCACAACTGACTAATGAACTTTTAATAACCTCCATCTAAAAATGTTTTTATAAAGTCTGTATTTAATACATTTATAATATAATATATACTTCAATTTCCCCCCCTTTTTTGTGCTAGGGAATTGAACCCAGGGCCTTGCAGATTACTTGAATATTTTTATAAAGCTTTCATTTTCATTTCATATTTGTCATTTCACTTTATAAAACTGAATCCTAAAATGGAGAGATGTGAATCCACTCTTATAAGAAATTATCTCAGTACTACTCAGTATATTCATGTTTTCAACATTTGTTCCCTCTAAGTCTTCCTTAAAAGTCACATCTGCCCCTCTTGAAATTGTATTCTTCAAGGATAACAACAATTATTAAACACCAAAGCTCCTGTTTTTCTCTCATTGGTTATGATTTCTTGTAAAATTTTTATCTTTTGATTTCCATGAATTTGCCTTTTATAATCTGTTTTTTTGTTTTTTTTTTTTTGGTGGGGTGGGGTACTGGGGATTGAACTCAGGGGCACTTAACCACTGAGCCCTTTTGTTGTATTTTATTTAGAGACAGGGTCTCACTGAGTTGCTAGGTCCTTGCTAAATTGCTCAGGCTGGCTTTGAACTTGAGATCCTCCTGCTTTAGCCTCCCAAGACACTGGGATTACAGGTGTGCGATACCACGCCTGGCTTGCCTTTTTAAATCTAAATCCTACCATTCCTTTACTATCTAGTTCCAATCACACTAGTTTATTTTGGCTAACTTAACTCATTTTAATAGATATATAAGTATCTCATGTAATAAAGAATTAAGAATTCCTAAAATAAGTTTCATCAAATAATATCTACACTATATATTTTGGGGGGGACAGGAGGGTGGTGGGGGCAGGGATTACCAGAGATTAAACCCAGGAGCACTGAACCACTGAACCATATCCCCAGCCCTTTTTTATTTTTTATTTTTGAGACAGGGTCTCGCTAAGTTGCTCAGAGCCTTGTGAGGCTGGTCTTGAACCTGTGATCCTCCTGCCTGAGCCTATCAAACTACTGGGATTGCAGGCATGTGCCACAAAGCCCAGCAATATCTATACTATTTGCTTAGACTCTCACACCAAATTAACTGTGATTTAACTAGAGTGAAGCAGTTTATATCTTATTTAAAAGTAGAAACCTATTTCTTTTATATCTTCCAGCAGAGTGTCATTTCTTTTATATCATCCAGCAGAGTGTTTGTTACATGAACACATAAATTCCCAAGAAATTATAAGTTTGCATGTTTTTCTTTACGGCACTCTTCAAAATATTATAGTTTTGTGTTAAGAATCTCAAAGGTGGAGGATTACTCACATATCAATAAATTGATTAGTTTACTATACTTGTATCCTTGCCTGAATTTGGAGCAAATTTTAATACATGTTTCCAAACACCTAAATGTTTATGTAATTATCTAGCTATATGCTATAATAAATAAACCTATGCTTTAATGAGAATTTCTTCTTAGAGAGTGAGTCACATGAGCAAAGATAACAAGCCACAGTACACAGAATTAAGGATTAAGGAGACAACATATTTTTGGACCATACATATAGATATGTTAAATAAATTACTGGGTTTTCTTCATGCTATTTGTAAATGGTGAAACTATATTCATTAATTTCAAAATATAGAAAGGACTTTATTTTTGTGTGGTTCTGAGGGTCAAACCCAGAACCTCACACATACCAGGCAAGCATTCTACCACTGAGATATATCCCCAGCCTGAAAACAGTTTATTTGAAATATTACTAAGATATAAATAAGCCCAAATTTTCCTGCGCTTTCCAAGTATAACAAAATGAAAATTTGAATATAAAGAAATGTTTCTGAATGTCAATATTCAAAAGTACTGTTCTATTAATTTAATCAGTAAACACAAAGTTTAATTTCAAAGTTAGGAGAGTCACTACCTTTAGATCCCAATGAAGGCATGAGAAATGAAGACATGTATTCCTTAATTTAAATACTGTAATATTCTGATCAAAAATTTTAATCACAAGCATTACTGTGACATTTTAGGAAATCTATTCATAAAAATTATGATGCATTATTCTTTATAAAAATAGTTTTTAGAAATATTCACTACTTGAGCCAGGTGCAGTTAACACACTCCTGTAATCCCAGCCGCTCAGGAAGCTAAGGCAGGAGGGCTGTGAGTTCAAAGCCAGCCTGAGCAACTTAATGAGGCACTAAGGAACTCTATCTCTAAATAAAAGACCCTATCTCTAAATAAAAAAGGGATAGAGATTTGCCTCAGTGGTTAAGCACCCCTGGGCTTAATCCCTGGTACAGGAAGAAAAGAAAGAAAAAAGAAAATCACTGCACAAGAAAAATGGGCACAATTTAAGTCATATAACATATTTAGACATATAAATAGTAACACAAATCATGTCTTCTTTACTCCCCCTTCTACAAATAATAACCCAAAATGGTAAAAACCTATCAATCAGTCTATTGTTAACAAACTAAGTATTGGTCCTACTAGCAAAACACTGAGATCATAACATCTTATATGAGTAAATGCAATACTATATTTAGAATAGAAAGATAGATTATCAGACCTTATTATTTCCATAGGCCATATCCATTGCTTCTAGAGATAAGGAACAGAGTGCATTTATTAAATGATGTAATGATACATCATCAAGATACCTAAAATAAAAATGAAGAAATAAGATATTTTGATCTAAAATATATAGCTAGTAAAATATTTTTCTATCAAATGTAAAATTGACTCTTACTGCGAGCTTTCAAACAATCTTGAAAGTATATTGGAAATCACTGGTAAATCTGTCATCACTGCAGTTGTCAGAACCTAAGAGAAGCATATTAAATTAAATATAACATGACATTTTTGGAAGCACTAATTAGATAAGAAGGACTAGAACTTACTGTACTAGGTCCTTCTACAGCTCTTCCAGGTTTCAAGGCACCACCACTACTAGGCTTTAATCCCAGAATCCATACAAGATGCTGAAAAATTAAAACAAAGCAAATACACTTATAAAACTATAAAAATTCTAATAATTAGAATTAAAGGCAGTAGTAACTACTAGTAAATAAAATTAAAATCAATAATTAATATTCTTATAAAATAATTACACCAAGTGTAAGCAGTAGAACTTAGGCCATTATGAGAAGCACTCTACCACATTCTATGATATGAGCTATGTCATTTATTCCTTTGTAACTTCTCATTTTACATGCTTACTCTGTCATAGGTCTGCGTGAAGCACCAATAGATAATGCTTAGTTTAACTGTTAGCAATTATAAGTAATAATATGCTAACCTCTGACCCAAGTACTTGAACATACCTGAAGAGTTGCCAAGACAAGTTGCCATGATGTTCCAAGAACAGCTCCATGACAGTGTGCCAAGTTAAGCAGAGTTCTCATACACTGGATATTTTTGGAAGTTAGCTATATTGAAAAAGGATATATCTGCAAGATCTGTTAAGCATTCTTAAAAAGTGTAAGTTTATAAAAGCAGCATTAATGCATTCAAAGACTTTTTAAAAGTAAAACACAGAAATATTAAGAAAACAGGTTTGAATAGTTTTACAAAACACAAATTAATCTGACTAAAAGTTGTCATGTTCATTACAATGTGACTGAATAGTTAACCAGTTTCTCCTAAAAATACTCTCCAGGTAAAAGAAAGTAATAACTACAGTAATAAATTTTGGCAAATGCAAAAGGGGTAAAACATGTTTCCTTGATAATTAATTGGTAACCAACAAAAACAAATATATTACCATTACTGTCCCTTGAGGCTGGACTGCTAGAGGTTGACCCACTGCCACAACCTGCTGGTGAGACTCACTTGATGGACTTATCATCATAACACTTTGGCCTTGAATAGAATATGCTATAATACAAAGGAAAGTCGAAATAAGTAAAAAAAAAAAAAAAAAAAAAATGCTTTTTATATTGCAATAAGAGTAACAGAATATTTTAAAATATTAATTTGATTAAATAAAGTTCTACCATGACACTTATTTAAACACCAATAATATCTATTATGAGTGTGCTAACATTATGAAAACTCATGGGGTATAAAAACCAAGATAAGTTAAGCAAATATTAAGTGGTTTTCAGTATCGATTGTAAAAAAATTATAAAACTCTGGTTATTATCTTCATAAACAAAATGGAATTAGAACAAATTAAGTTTAAACATCTATTTGTAGTATACTTGTATAGTTAAAGTCAGAGAGCAATATATTTTTAGTTTGAAAACTTTACTATCACATTAATGTATACTATACATGCTCTTAAAGTATTCAATGTAAATGAATTTTTGAAGGTGAGCTTAACCTAAGTAGTTATAAACATTAACCATTCTACTAGTTCCATTTAATACAAAATATCAACCACTATTTCAATATTATGTTAAATTTTTGACAGACTTATAGTTTTATTTTGTTTGCATGATTGTGTTTTAAAAAGATATTATTATCCTCTCCCACTCCCACTGTATTAAAGAGATGGAAAAAAACTGAAGCTCAGGGACAATCACTTCCCCAAGATCACACAGTTAGTAAGTGGAACAGCAGAGATGTGAACTCAGAATTTCTACAATCATTTCTCTATATCACCCAACAAGATGGAGGGAACGTTGTACAAGCTTAAGTCTTACATTTACTGGAAAGTGTAGCTGCTGTGGTGGTGTTCAATACAGTAAGGGCATAATGCGGAGGCAAGGAACCTTTGCATATTGCAGTTATAAAGGCATCTCTTGAAGTTACAAGGCCCAGTCTTCCACAAAGAGCAGCCATAGTCAGTTCAGCTTTTAAGATATTCTCAGTGGCAGCTTCATCTGTGCTGAAAAGATAAGGTATTTTATTTAACTGATTAACTTATTTTAAATTGAATTATAAAATATGACTTGAAATTAGGTATTCAGTAAAGTCTTAAGAAAATCTACCCAAAATATCAAAAATCAATATACTTAAGAAGGAATTTTAACCAATTAACATAATATCTGAAAATTTAAACTGGGTAAATACAACGTACAATGCACACATTTATTATGGAAGAAAATTATCAAGAACTGAAAAGATTTAACTTAAAACATGGAGCATTTTAAAATCAGCAAAAATTCTGCAATCCTAAAGAAAAATAAATCAAATAAATTAAATATGACAATGATCATTGTAAAAATAGTAGTATGTCTTAAAATGAATAGATTTTCTATAATTTGGGATTGTATTTTCTATTAAAACACTGACACTGTGACAATTGTGGTAGAGGGCAGGGCAGGGACCGGATGAGGAAGAGCAATGGCTGTAAAAGAATAATGTTCTTGAAGAAATGATAAGGATCACTTGCACATTGTATACATATATTTTATCGCACTGTATTCCAAAGATATGAACAATTAAAAATAAGTTATAATGTTCTTTCTATATACCCTTTAGCAACCCAGGCTTATTTTTTGATTGAACTAGACCCTAGTAATTTCCAGACTAAATGGATTTCAGAAGTTCTGAAAGGCTGAACTGTTAGAAAAATGCACAGCCTACATGTGGCCACAGAGGGAATCTTCCTCTTAAGCCAACTGCACTCTAAATATTGAAATGTCATTTTCACAGCTAATACAGTTTTTCCAGATGGATTATTTTTCAAAATTGGTCGACATTAGTAGAAGTACAGATTCTTTTTTTTTATTAGTTGCTCATGACAATACAATGATCTTGACATATCATACATTTGAGTCAAGTGGGGTATGGTTTCCCATTTTTCCAAGTGTGCAGGTTGCAGAATCACATTAGTTATATAGACACGTATATACATACAGCAATACTAGTGTCTATTTTATTCTGCTGCCCTTCCTATCCCCCCTTCCCCGCCCCTTCCCTCCCATCGCCTCTCTCTGCCCAGTCTAGTGTGATGCCTTTCTTTTTTTTTCCTCTCACATCATCATACATGTACATTTCTTTGAGTTTGAAACGAACCAATGTTGGAAGTAATGTTCTCTGGGTGGAAATGTGAATAAAGATGTTTCTAAAGTCAAAAAATAAAAATAAGTTATAATGTTCTTTCTATATAAAACACTAATATTAGTAAATAAATTCTTCAAATTCAAGTAAACCATTTTAATATTTGTTTAACTCTCATGATCTAATATAAAACTTACAAAGACTTAATACCTGGCATCAAGAAGGAGTGAGAGTGCAGCAAGAAGACCACACCAGCAAGCATTCACCATTTCTTCCCAAACAGCTCTACTAACTTCAAGGAAAAAAAAAATACTTAATGACAATAATAGATGTCATAATATTTAATGACAATTCAAATTCTAAAATCTCCCATGTTAATTGACAATAAGTCAAATATTTTATCAACTCAACTGTTAGAATACTGAATCTTTTGTATTTAAAATATACCCGAATAAATAAAACTTTAGGTCAGGCATGGTTGTACACATAAAGACTCCTAGCTACTCCAAAGGCTGAGCAAGAATATTACAAGGTCCAGGCCAGCCTAAGCAACCTTGTAAGACACTATCTCAAAATAAAAATTAAAAAATTAAAAGGGCTGGGGATATAGCTCAGTGATAGAGTGCCACTGGGTTCAATTCCCAGTGCCACAAATAAACAAACAAACAAACAAACAAAAAACAAAATTAAAAGCTATACTACAGTGGCTTAAAACTTTATAAAGTCTTAAAACTAAGTTGTTTGAAAACATCTATTGTAAGATCTTTCTATACATGAGTTAACTGATTCATACCTTATTAAAAAATATATTAACATCTTCTCTATTAGCCAAACTTTCAATCTCTAGGACCAGCTGGGAATGAGGATGAGCTATATAATAATAAGCTGGCTTGGGCAGGATTCTGATTACGTACATTGGAAATCATGCAAATAAGCAAATACATTGAGCAAACAAGAGTGGGAGACTGAAGTTACAAATATGGAAAGGTAAAAATAAACCCAGTGGTATTGAACTGGAATAGAAAAATTAATATGATGTCATAGTATTTAATAGAGCAAGACAGACATTTTTGAAATATTGAGATATGTGTTGTTGTTTTGTGTGTATTTCCTATCCAAGTAGCAAGAAGCATCCCTAGTGCCATGTGATAGTTTCAATACTATTCTCCAAGACTTCTTGGAAAACTGACTGACATTGGGGCTGGATAAGAAATACTTAACATCTTATTTTATTAAACAGTGAGGAAGTACCCAGATAAGGTCAAAAGACTTGAGACACGTATTAAAGAGGACACAGGGCTGGGCATGGTGGCACATGCCTGTAATCCCAGTGGCTCACGAGACTGAGGCAGGGGCATTGCAGGTTCAAAGCCAGCCTCAGCAATTTAAAGAAGCTGTAAACAATCTAGTGAAACCCTGTCTCAAAATAAAAAGGGCTAGGGATGTGGTTCAGAGAATAAATGTCCTTGGGTTCAGACCCTGGTACCCCGCCCCCAAACCCCCTGGCAAAAAAAAAAAAAGACACAAGGGCTAGCTTCAAACAGGTCAGTCTGAGCATGAAACTAAATAATGATAGTCATAGATTTAGTCTTTTGAATAAAATCAAAATCCATGAATCTACACTAAATAAAATTAAAATCCATGAATCTACATTAATATAAATGTATAAATTTCTAAGAATAGCAAATGGTGGAGAAAAGAAAGAACTTTTATAATATATTTTATTAGAAAAATATGTGACTTTACACAAAGGAAATCTGGCTGACATATTAGTCATAGATAAAAGTAAATATCTCCAATTATGAGACAAATTGACACTGTATGCTTTCTAATGCACTGGCACACTAAATATAACACAGCAACATTTCTATGCTAATTCTGCATCAAATGAATAAATTAAATATAATTGTGAAGAAACATAAGACAAAAGCAAATTGTCTTGGTTCCTCAGAAGTATCAAGGTCATATAAAACAAGGAAAAACTAAGGAATTTGATCCACACTGAAGGAAAGCATAGACACATGGCGATTAAATTTAACAGATAAACCTGGACCATAAGAACACTATAGGGGTAACTGACAAAATCTGAATGAGTTGTGGGTTTAGATATTATTGGATTGATCCTAATTTCTAATAGTGGTTGTACTATAGTATGTTGGAGACTTAGTTTTAGAAAATCCACACAAAGTAATTAAGGGGCAATGAGGCATCATATCTACAACTTATTCTCAAATAGTTCAGAAAAAACAATGACATGTACATAAATAGAATGGTAAGGTAAATATGGTAAAGTGTTAACAATGGGGAATAAGGGTAAATGATAAGGAAACTCAACTACTTTTGCCAGTTCTCTGTAAATTTCAAAATAATAATTAAAAATACAGAATGGTAATACACACCTATTTCCTTATCCATTTGGTCTGATGTTGACTGTAAATCTTGCTGTTCTGATGAATGCATTGGTGAAGAAGCCCCTTCTGTGGTAGACTGATATTCTGTTTCAACCTCTCCTAACTCTCCTTCAATCATACTAGTGATTCCCCGAACAAGGTCTAGCAAACAGTGGAATGCCACAGACATGGCATAACCTTCTGGTATAGTTGGAGGCTCAACTTTGTCCAGCATCTCTAGGCTGAAATTATGAAAAAATTAAACACTAATGAGAAACCAAAATCAATAAATATGGAAAACTCTTTCCATTATTTGTAGACTATGAAAACTGACATTAATAGAATAGCCAAAATAAAAAGATATTTCTGAGTTTGTTTAATTTGGAGAAGATCCATTTATCATATTCTAAGAAACTGATTAGAAAAATTAAGACCTGGCCCCTGCCATAACTAATTATTTTAATTTTTTACTTCATTTTTCCCTACAACAGTGACAATACTTTCATTAATTGTTGATATTTGAAAAATAAAGATTTAGAAACAAAATAAATAAGCAAATTAAAAACTTTTCAAACTCTGATTTTAGGTGCTTTTAAAATGAGGTGCTAAAATCAATACTACAAAGAGGAAAATACTTCCACATTGGGGAAAAGCATAATTGTGAGATACCTAGTTTACCTATCATTCCAGATACAATATACCAAGAGTATAAACAATACTTAACACAAGTGTCAAGTTCAAGTTGCAGAAGTGTTTCTACTGCATAGTTAGAGAAAACTTTCAGGGGGAAGGACAAAAAATCTTGTGTCTTACACCATGCCAAATAAGGAATTATGGTTTTAAGCATTGTATAGTTTTCTGTCAAGATAACACCACAAAGAAAGAATTATCCAATTGGGAATGAATTAATGGTACTGAGACAACTGGACATACAAGAGAGACATTGGATCTCTACTTTATGCCACACACAAAATTAAAAAATGAAATACACAAAATGAAAAACACAAAATTAATAAAAATGAACCAATGACCTAAATGCAAAGGTAAAAATCTTCATGATCCCACATTAGATAATGGTTTGTAACATGAAGCCAAGAGTGCAAACAACAAAAGAAACATGGGGGTTGGGATTACAGCTCAGTGGTAGAGCACTTGCCTTGCACATGTGAGGACTGGGTTTGATCCTCAGCACCATGTAAAAATAAAATAAAAGTATCATGTCCATCTACAACTAAAATAAATTTTTTAAAAAAGGAAAAGCAACACTGGATTCAACAAAACTATTGTTAAAACTATTGTGCTTCTAAATGCAGTATCTAGAAAACTAAAAACAACTCAGAATGTGAGAAAAAATTTGCAAATTAGATATCCAACAAGAGACTTGAATCTAGGATATAAGAAAGCTCTTACAACTATATAATAAAAAGATAACCAAATTATAAAAAGCAAAAGATCTGAATAGACATTTCCCAAGAGGACAGATAAGTAGTTTACAAGCACAAAAATAGATGCTCAATATTGTTAATCATTAGGGAAGTACACAATACCACTTTGTAACCACTAGAATCTCTAGCATCAAAAAGATGAACAATTTCAAATATTGCTCAGGATGTGGAAAAATCTAAAATCCTTTATACACTGTTGATAGGAATGTAAAATGATGCAGTTGCTTGGCAAACAGTTTGACAGTTCCTCAAAAGTAACTCATGAAAAAAACACAGACACTGAAACTGAGTATTAAAGTGAAGTAGTTATTAATTAGTAGTTTTCAACTGAAATCTGACTGAGCTTATGCAATTGAACCACTAATATGTATCAAATCAACTTTGTAAAATTTAGGTAACTAATAGAAAAATATTGATATTATTGATCAAGAAATTTAAACTCAAATGGGGAGATAAAGTCCATGGATTATCAGGACTTCATCAGGCCAGTTATCACAAAAATCACATAGTAAACAAATCAATGAGAAGCATCTTGTTCAACAGATTGCTGTTTTCAAAGAATATGTTATTAGGAAAATACATCAAAATGAAAATAATTCTAAAGACCAAAAACTCTAATTTTTAAATTCTATGATGTAGGCTTTAAGTACTATAATAGTTAAGAAAAAGGGTGATTTACATTTTGTATTCATGTCAAAAACAAAACACACTTGTTTTCCTTCAAATTTTTCATTGGTGCTTAATGGTGGGATTGTATATAATGGTGGGATTTGTCATTACATATTCATATGTGCACATTCATAACAATACAATTTGGCCACTATCATTCCTAAGTATTTTCCCTTTCCCTTTACTCCTCTTACCTCCAGTCCCTTTTCTCTATTCTACTTACCTCCCTTTGAATTTCCATGATATCCCCCCAACCTTTCTTTTCCTTTTTCCTCTACAGCTTCCATATACAACAGAAAATGTACAACCCTTGACATTCAGAATTTCAATTATTTTGCTTAACATAATGTTTTTGAGTTCTATCCATTTTCCTGCAATTGACATAATCTCATTTTTTCTTTTTGGCTAATGTTAATTTGTTGCATATGTTAATTTGACTATTATGAATTGTGCTGCTATAAACATAGGTATGCATGTATCACCATGGTTTGGTTACTTTAATTCCTTAGTATTAATACTAAGAAGTGCTATAGCCAGGTCATAAGGTGGTTCCATTCTTAGCCTTCTGAAGAACCTCAATACTGATTTCAGTAGTTATTATACTAATTTACAATCCCACCAACAGTGTACAAGGGTTCCATTTTCTCCACATCTTCCCTAGCAGTTATTATTGTTTGTATTCTTCATGGAATCCATTTGGACCAGACTGAGACAAAAATCTCAGTATAGTTTTGATTTATATTTTCCTAAAGCTAACGATGAAGGAAGCTTTTTTCATATATTTGTTGGCCATTTGTATTTCTTTTTTTGAGAAATGTCTGTTTTAATCATTTGCCCACTAATTAATTGGGTTACTTGGTTTTGTTGCTGTTAAGGTTTTTTACTTCTTTATATGTTATCGATATTAATCCTCTGTAAAGAGAGTAGCTAGCAAAATTTTTCTCCCATTCTGTAGGCTCTCTCTTCACTTTCTTATTTCCTTTGTTATGCAGAAGCTTTTTAATTAGATGCCATCCTATTTATTAACTCTTGGCATTATTTCCAGAACTTCAGGGTTCCTACTGAGAAAGAGATTGCCTATGTCTATATGTGGCAATGTTGACCCTACAATTTTTTTCTAGGAGTCGCATAGTTTCTGGTCTTATTTGTAGGCCTTTGATCCATTTTGAATTGACTTTAGTGCAAGGTAACAGATAAGAGTCTAGTTTCATTCTTCTACACATGAACATCCTTGCTTTTTCCAGATTTTAAAAGAAATAGTTTCAGTTTTTCTATATCCACTATGAGGTTGGCTTTGGGTTTTTCAAATATAAACTTTTATGATGTTGAGGTAGATTCTTCAGTTTCTTCAATGTGTTTATCATGAATTGTTGATGAATTGTGTTGCACTCTTTTTCTCCATCTATTCAAATGACTAAATGATTTCTGTCCTTAATTCTGTTTACAAGATGAATTACATTTATTGATTTGCATATGTTAAACCAACCTTGCATACCTGAGATAAAATCAACTTGGTGATGATGTACAATCTTCTTAATATGTTCTTGAATACAATTTACTAATATTTCATAAGGATTTTTGTATCTAAGTTCATCAGGGACACTGTTCTGTAGTTTTCTTTCCTTGATGTGTCCTTCCTTATCTGGTTTTGGTATGAGTGTGATACTGGCTTTGTAGAATTAATTTGAAAGTGTTTCATACCTTTCAATTTCATGGAATAATTTCAGGAGCATTGTCATCAGTTCCTCTTTAAAAATCCAGTAGAATTCAGGTGAGAATCTACCCATTTCTGGCTTTTCTTTGTTGGAAAGATTTTTATTATTGTTTCTACCTCATTGCTAGTTATTGCTCACTTTAGGTTTTCTGTGTCCTTTTTATTCAATTTTTTGCAGGTCAGCTGTGCCTAGAAATGTATCCATTTCTTCTAGATTTTCCAATTGATTACAGTATAAGTGTTCAAAATAGTCCCTAATGATCTGCTGGATTTGTGTGAAGTCTGAACTGAATTATCCTTCTTCATCTCTAATTTTATTAATTTGGGTCTTCTCTCTTTGTTTTTTGGCTAGTTTGGCCCAGGGCTTATTAATCTTATCTTTTCAAAGAACCAATTCTTCCTTTTAATTCAGGATCCTTTGTATTTTTTTCTTAGTTTCACTGCTATTGGCTCTGGTCTTAATTATTTTTCTTCCTTCTATTGGTTTTAAAATTGGTGTGTTCTTTTTTTGAGGGGGGGGGTACCACAAATTGAACTCAGTGGTACTACACCACTGAGCCACATCCCAGCCCTATTTTGTATTTTATTTAGAGACCAGGGTCTCACTGAGTTCTTTAGCACCTTGTAACTGTTGAGGCTGGCTTTGATCTTCCTGCCTCAGCCTTCTGAGCAGCTGGGATTACCATCATGCCCAGCTCTTCTTTTTAAAGGGACTTGATATTTATTAAGTTATTTATTTAGGATCTTTTTTATTTTCTTTCTTTTTTCTAAATATTTCTTTATGGTTGTAGTTAGACACAACAACTTTTTAAATTTATTTGTCTATCTATCTATTTATTTATTTATTTATATGTGGTGTTGAGGATTGAACCCAGGGTCTCGCACATGCAAGGTGAGCGCTCTACCACTGAGCCACAACCCCAGTCATCGCGCCCCCCCCCCCCCCGCCCCGCACCCACCATTGATTTTCTTATGTAGATACTTATGTAGCTATAAACTTTTGTCTCAGAATTGCCTTCACAGTGTCCCAGAGATTCTGGTATATTATATCTCTATTCTTGTTTAAGTCCAAGAATTTTTAAATTTTTCTCTTAATTTCTTCTATCATTCATTCATCATTCAAAAGTATATTATTCAGGGCTGGAGCTGGAGCTCAGTGGCAGAGTGATTGCCCAGTATGTGTAAGGCACTGGGTTCCATCCACCACATAAGAATAAACAAATAAAATAAAAGCATGCTATCCATACACAACTACTAAAAATAATTTTTAAGTGTATTGTTCAATATCCACATTTTACATAGTTCCTATAGATTTTTGGAGTTCATTTCTAATTTATTTCCATTATGATCTGATAAGAGTTGCTTTGCAGCCTAAATTATGGTCTATTTTGAAGAAGGTTCTATGATTTCCATGTGCTTAACTCTAAGAAGATTAGCAAAATATTTAAAATAACATTCCTCACATATAGGATGTTGAAAGTTAGATATATCACTACTCCCATTTTATAAATGAGAGAATGAGGTTAAAAATTTAATTTACCAAAGGTAACTCAATTAATATAAGATCTAAATTGAAGAGTATGAAACCAAGCCATATTAGTGTATGTTTGTGTTTTTATTTACTGACTACATCACTCACTAAAATGTAAGCTTCATGAGGGCAAGAATTTTATTCTGTGTTGGTTTTGTTTTATGTCAGTTTGTAAAATGACGTGAACTATCTAGATAATTATTAATGCCTCCTTTGGCACTAGAAATCTAATTATTTTACAATATGATCCTCTAATGCACTAGAGTCATTATCATTATTTTTTTTAACCAAAGCAGAGCCAATATTAGACTAAGTAATGTCTTATAAAATATACAATGAATATACAGATATTTCAGTTCTCTGTAATTCTACACTTTTACAATTTTAGGCAAAAAAAAGAAGCATAATTAAGTATCAAAACGCAGATTGATACAATGCAGACTAACATACCATAAAAATTTAGATTTATAGTAGTTAGATTTTTATTTTACATTTTAAGTCTTGATTTACTGTCATCAAAATAGTATTTTACTTATATACAACAATTATTCAAAGTATATCAGTAACTGGCTCACAGTAACTAAAGCAATATTAAACCCATGTAATATTGATTGCTTTATTTCTGTTAGTATTACATTTCACTAGTTATTAAGAAAAATCAATAATACATTGCTGAATATTTATTTGTTAAACTGATGGCTAACTGCAGTTTCAATAAATTAAGAACCAGAGTTAACACGTGTTTAACCTTAACAACAAGAATAATTATTTAAAATAACGTTCCTCCCATGTAGAACGTTGAAAGTTACATATACCAGTGCTTCCATTTTATAGAAGAGAGACATTAAATTAAAACAATGATTAATTTGCTAAACGTAGTTTTGTAGGAAACTTGAGGAGGTAAAGAAATCATATTTGTTTTATAATGCTGTTAACAGTCTATATAAATAGCACAAAAGAAAACAAACAAAATCCAGTTCTAAATAAAATCCTCAAAATTGACAATAGCAAATGAGCTCTAAAATATATTAGAAATATGGGGTCTAAATTTAAAATATAATACACACAAAAGCATTTTAGGATTAAATATTATTCCTAACACTATTTTGTTCCTTATAAAATAATGTCACCACTACTTACTAGGTGGCTTTAGCACTGCCTTGAACTGTTACTGTCAGAATAGGTATCCAAGTTCCTCTATATTCAAATGCTGGTAGCAAAGTAACACCTCCACCAATTCCCACCATTCCTGAGTTAGCTGGAGCTGAGACTGGGCCACCTGAATTATTGTTGCCTATTAGATAAGGAGGGAAAGCAAAGATACCAATTTACTACTTGATTACAAATTAATACTATTCAAACACCTGGTCAATCTTCAAATTCTTTTCTGTACTATAGGTATTACACAAATAAATGAAATTTATTAACCTATTCTATCTACCAAAGAAATCTATTTCCCTAAAACACTACTTCCTTTTTCATACAAAAGCTATTAGCGTAAGTAAAAATATGGAAAAAATATTTTTAAAAATAGGATTTGTTCAGGTAAGAAGAGACAGAACTCCCTCAGGGTAAGAGGGACCTGATAGAGGTTGCCCTGAACAAAATTTTTATTATACTTTTGATTAGACCTCTTTTTACCAAAGGTAGGAATAAAAAATAAAAAGTCTATCAAACAGATAGTACAAAGTGATAAAGAAGGTAAAAGGAAATAAGCTTAAAACAAACTTAAAACATGTTAACCTCTTTTGTTAAAAAAGAGACTGACAAACCTCCTAAAGTAGTAACTATCTAGTCTCTTTTAAAAGAGGAATCAAATGAAGATTCTTCTAAAACGAATGGTATCTAAACTTTTGTCCTCGTATGATTAGAGAAACAAAAATATACCAGAAAAGAAAATAAAAATAAGTGTCACAGTAAGACCAAATTATTTGTTTCACAGTAAGACCAAATTATTTGTTAAGTATAAATTGTTACTATAAAAATATTTACTTAATCCAAATTTCTCTAGATAGAATTTCTAAAATAAACCCTCTCAGAACAGTGAATATTGTAAATTATAGCAGAACATAAAAACAAAATATGAATATGCTTTACCAGCTTGGTTGGTTGTAGCAGGATTTCCAGTAGGAGGAACAAGAAACAAGGACTGGATAAATGATCCCAGTGCATTCACAATATCACGAAAAACCTTGGTAGAATGTTGTTTCATATCATAGGACTGACAAAATGACCTGTAAAATCATTTTAAATGTTTCTGAGAAAAAAATTTGAATGCATTAAAAAAATTAGTATTTTTTTAAAGCAAGTAATGTTGTTATTGTACTTTCAATGCCATACTCGAAAGATTCTTCATCACACCTGAGCAATTTTACCAATTTAGGACAAAGGTTCATATTGAAGTCAATGTTCTAAAAAAATGATCTTGGCTATATTTACTCAGCAAATTCAGACAGATGGCAATTATTAACTACATGTTTTGACTTCATTCGTTGCCATGCCTCCACCCTGTCCCTTCATATATTTATACATATATATAAATTATACACATTTTCTGTTTAAAAATCACTAATATTTGGGAATACTTAAAATCTTCCCACTAGTTTACTAACCTACTACTAGTTTATTAACCTATCCATTACAAAATATTGCTGAGGTTTTACCTTAACAGCTGAGGCTGCACACATAATCTGTGTATTGATTCAACCGCAACAGCTCGTAGCCACTGTGGTTTATCTGCATCCAGAAATTTCACCAAAAGTGACAGAAATATTTCACATTCAGTTACCTAAAAAGTATAGGGTTTTTTATATTTGTTTGAATCAAACAAAATAATAAAAAGTTGCATTCTTACTCTTAATTTAGTGCCATAGACAATAAAATCTTTTAGATTTGAAATAAAAATTCTTAATGGTGATTAGAGAAAAAGACAAAAGTAATTATAAAGAAAAGTTAGCAATAAAAATACTCATAGTATCTCCTTAGTACATCCCTGAAAACACTAGTATTCTGCTAACATAGTTAATCCTTTATCCTTATTCTTTAGAAAGTATAGCACACCAGTAAGTCTTCTTCAACCCTGCCAATAATATTTAGGGAACAAGTAGGGAAGTGGTATTTATTTGGCCTCATGACAATAAAAAATTTCTAAACACTTTGACTTCACTACCACAAGGCCTGGCAATGATTTAACATAACAGTACAACTACACTGATCCTTATATTTCATTCTCTTTTTAAAAATCTCTTGACACTCCATACTGACTGATATTTCTATATCCTAATTATTTTTACTTTTACTATTTTGCTGACATTTTAAAAAGTTTTAAATCATGGTAAAAATACATAACATTAAACTCATTCTTTTAATTATATTTAAGTATACAGAACAGTAGTGTGTTAACTATATTCACATTGTTGTATAATAGATCCCTAGAACTTTTTCAACTTGTAAAATTGAAACTCTACACCCATTCAAGACCCTATTCCTCAGTCCATGGAAATCACCATATTTTGTCTCCATGAACTTACTCTAGATACAGGAGGAATCACACACTATTTGTTTTTCTGTGACTGGCCTATTTTACTCAACATAATGTCCTCAAGGCTCCACTGAACAGGACTTCTCTCTTTCTATGGCTAAATAACATAATAAATGTATATACTGTCATCTTTATCTGTTCATCTGTCAATAAATATTTGAACTGTTTCCACTTCTTGGCTTTTATAGAAAACATTTCAATAAACACAAGTGTGCAAATATTTCTTTATATCATATTTTCTTTTGGGTATACAGCCAGAAATTGAACTGTTGGATCACATGGTAATTCTATTTTTTTTTTTTCTCATTAAACTTTTGTTCCAATGGGTCTCAAAATTCTGTGACAGATTTTTGGTTAAGTTGTTCCCATTAAAAAGCACTGATTTTAGCCAGGCGCGGTGGTGCACACCTGTAATTCCAGTGGCTAGGGAAGCTGAGACAGGAGGATCCAGAGTTCAAAGCCAGCCTCAGCAATGGCGAGGTGCTAAGCAACTCAGTGAGACCCTGTCTCTAAGTAAAATACAAAATAGGGCTGGGGATGTGGCTCTGTGGTTGAGTGCTCGAGTTCAATCCCTTATACTCATTAAAAAAAAAAAAGAAAGAAAGAAGAAAGTACTGATTTTAAAAACTAACAACTTAAAACTTCCACACACAAAAAACAAATGGTCCACAAAACATTCTCCTTTCCTTCTAAAGGTTTTATAATACATTGTTATCATTTACTAGTCTTTTACTATTAAACTTAAATGGCCAATTGAGACAAAAAGTCTGAGACCACCACTGAATAAGACTGGGGTGGCAGGTGTTAAGGATAACATTCAAATAGCCTTCTGAGCTTTCTGGGCAGACTTGGTGACCTTGCCAGCTCCAGCAGCCCTCTTGTCCACTGCTTTGATGACACCCACACCAACTGTCTGCCTCATATTACAAACAGCAAAACAACCCAGAGGAGGACAGCCCAAGAAGCTGTCAACACACATGGGCTTTCCTGGAACCATGTCAATGATGGCAACATCACCAGATTTCAAGAATTTAGGACCATCTTCCAGCTTCTTACCAGAACAGTTATCAGTCTTTTCTTTCAGCTCAGCAAACTTACAAGTAATGTGAGCTGTGTGACAATCCAGTATAAGGGCATAGTCAGCACTGATTTATCCTGGATGGTTCAGGATAATCAACCTGAGCAGTGGAACCAGCTGCTTCCATTGGTGGATCATTTCTGCTGTCACCACAACACTGCCATGACGAACATCTTTGACAGACATGTTCTTGACATTGAAGCCCCCACTGTCCAGGAAGAGCTTCACTCTGAGATTCATGCTACATTTCAACAGGCTTTACTTTAGTTGTGACATTGACTGGAGCAAAGGTGACCACCATGCAAGGCTTGATAACACTAGTCTCCACTTGGCCCATAGGGACAGTACCAATATCTCCAATTTTGTAGATCCTAGAGGGGTAGATGCAAAGGCTTGTCAGTTGGACGAGTTGGTAGCAGGATGCAATCTAAAGCTTCAAGCAGTGTGGTTCCACTGCCATCATTATGGGTGACTTTCTATCCCTTGAACCAAAGCATATTAGAACTTGGCTCCAACATGTCACCATTCCAACAAGAAATTGGCACAAATACTACTGTGTCAGTGTTGTAGCCAATATTCTTCAATGTAGGTGCTGACTTCCTTAACGATTTCCTCATATCTCTTCTGATTGTAGAATGCCACAGTGGAATCCATTTTGTTAACACCAACAATTATTTGGTGACTTGTTGTTTGCTTCAGACCCAGTGTGTAAGCCAAAGGGCGTGCTCACAGGTCTATTCATCCTTGGATATACCAGCTTCAAATTCACCAACATCAGCATCAACAATTAGGGCAGTACAGTCAGCCTGAAATATGCCTATTTTTGATAAAGTCTCTGTGTCCTGGGGCATCAATGATAGTCACATAATACTTACTGGTCTGATATTTCCACAGGGAGCTGTCAATGGTGATACCACACTCATGCTCAGCTTTCAGTTTATCCAAGACTCACATGTATGTGAAGGAGCCCTTTCCCATCTCAGCAGCTTCTGTCTCAAAATTTTCAATGGTTCTTTTGTTGATCCCACCATGTTTGTAGATCAGATGGCCAGTAGTGGTGGACATGCCCAAATCTACATGTCTAATGACCTTTCCATTTTGGCTTTGATTTAGCTGTGGTTTTCACAACACCTGTGTTCTGGTAGCAAACCCGTTATGAAAAAGCTAGTAATTCTATTTTAATTTGAGAAACTACCATACTGTTTTCCACAGTAGCTCCACCATTTTACATTCCCATCAATAGTACACAAAGGTTCCAATTTCTCCACATCTTTGCCAACACTTGTTATTTTCTATTTTTTTTTGCCTGTTTCTTTTTTCTTTTTTTCATAGTGACCATCCTAATAGGTATGAGGTGATATCTCACTGTCATTTTGCTTTGCATTTCTAAAATGATTTGACAGGTTGAGCATCTTTTCACATGCTTGTTGGATATCTGTGTATCTTTGGAGGAATGTCCATTCATGGCCTTTGCCTGTTTTTAATTAAGTTACTAGGGGTTTTGTTGCTATTGTTGTTGACCTGTAGTTTTTTATATATTCTGGATATTAACCCCTTATCAGACATATGACTTGTAAGTATTTTCTCTCATTCTAAAGATTGCCTTTCTGAGTCAGGCATGGGATACATGTCTTTATCTCCGGGACTCAAGAGGCTGAGGCAGGTAAATTGCAAGTTCAAGGCCAGCCTCAGTAACTGAGTGAGACTCTGTCTCAAAATAAAAAAGGTATGGGGAAGGTTGGGGCTGGGGTTCAGTGGTAGCGCACTTGCCTGGCATGTGTGAGGCACTGGGTTTGATTCTCAGCACCACATATAAATAAATAAAATAAAGGTCTATCAACAAAAATACCTAAAACAAAACAAAACAAAAAAAGGGATAGGGATATAGTTTGGTGGTAGGGTGCTCCTGGAACCAATCTCCAGTATCTATCTCTCTCTCTCTCTCTCTCTCTCTCTCTCTCACACACACACACACACACACACACACAAAATGCCTTTTCAAATTGTTGACAGTTTCTTTTGAGGTGTGGGGGGTTTTAAGTTTGATGTAATACCATTCGTTTACTTTTGCTTTTGGTGTCAGTACCAAGAAATCATTGCTAAATCCAGTGTTATAAATATTTTCCCCAAGGTGGTTTTATTTTTTTTTAAATTTTTATATTTTTAAGAAACTTCATGATTTTAAGTCTTCTATTTAGGTGGTATATCCATTTTGAGTTTTTTGTGATATAAGGTAAAGATACAACTTCATTCTTCTGGTAGGTGCTGGCTTCCTTAACGATTTTCTCATTATAACTTTTCTAGCTCTACTGTTGAAGAGGCTGTCCTTTCCCCATTGAGTGAGCTTGGCATTCTTATTAAAGATCATTTAGCCATATATGCAAGGGCTTATTTCTGGGTTCTCTATTCTCTTCCTCTGGTCTTTATGTCTTTCTTTGTGCCAGTAGCCAACTGCTTTTGATTACCCTCGTTTTGCAATATGCTTTAAGATCAGGAAGTGTGAGGTCTCCAAATCTGTTCTTTTTTTCTCAAGATTCATTTTGACAAGTCAGGTCCTTCAAGATTCTATAAATTTTAGAATGGATCTTCTATTTCTGTAAAAAATGCTGTTGGAATTTTTATAGAGAGTGCACCGAATCTGCAGATCACTCTGGGTAGTATGGTCATTTTAACAAAATTAAATCTTCTAATCATGAACGCTGGATGTTTTCCCATTTGTGTCTTTCTTTCAGCAATATTTTTGGCTTTTAGTGTACAGGTCTTTGGCCAGCTTGGCTAAGTTTATACCTAAATATTGTATTTTTTAATTCAATGGTCAATAGAAATGCTTTCTTAATTTCTTTCTTGAATTGTTCACTGTTCGTGTATAGAAATACAACTGATTTTTGCATGTTGAATTTGTTTATTGGCTCTAATAAGTTGTATTGTACAGATTCTTTAGGACTACTTACACATAAGATCATGTCATCTATAAACAGATATGTTTGCTTCTTCCTTTCAAGTCTGGATGACTCATTTCTTTTTCTTTCCCAATTGCTCTGGCTAGAACTTCTAGTACTATGTTGAATATAAGTGTAGATACAGGCAACCATGCCTTGTTTCCTTACAGGAAAGACTCTGAAGTTTTGATTGTGATATTAGTTACTGATTTTTCATAGAAGGTCTTTATTATATTGAGGTAGTTTACTTCAATTCCTAGTTTTCTGAGTATTATGAAAGGGTAATGAATTTTATCAAATGCTTTTCCTAAATCAGTTGAGATGATCATGTGTTTGTTTTTTACATGACAAACAAAACAACATGGTAGACAACATGAACTGCTTTCCCTATGTTAAAATATCCTGTGTTCCAGGAATATATCCCACTTGGTCATGGTTTTAATGACGTGTGTGTGTGTGTGTGTGTGTGTTTTGCTGGGGACTGAACCCAGGGCCTTGTGCATGAGAGGCAAGCACTCTATTGAGCTATATCCCCAGCCCTTGATGATCTTTTAATGTGCAACTGAATTTGGTTTCCTTATAGTTTGTTGAGAATTTCTGCCACAATATTCATCAGGAATGCTGATTTATAGTTTCTTGTAATACCTTTTGACTTTGGAATCAAGGTAATATTAGCGTCATACAGGGGGTTTGGAAGTATTTTCTTCTCTTCAATTTTTTGGAAGATTTTTGAGAAAGACTGGTGTTAATTCTCCTTTCAGTGTTTGGGTTCACCTGTGAAGCCATTTGGTTCTAGGCTTTTCTTTGTTATGAGATGTTTGATTATTGATTCAATCTCTTTACTAGTTATGATTCTATTCAAATTTTTTATTATGATTCCATCTTGGTAGATCATCAGTTTCAAGGAATTTATTTCTTCAAGGTTATACAATTTTTTGTTGTATAGCTATTCATAGTTGTCCTTTATAATCCTTTATACTTTTGTGGCATCAGCTTTCTCCTCTCTCATTTCTGAAATTGTTAAGCATTCTGTTTAGTCTAACTAAGGGTTTGCTGATTTTATGGATTTACAAAAACCAACTCCCAGTGGTATCTATTTTTCTATTTCATTTATGCTGTGATTTTTTATTATTTTGTTCCTTTTACTAACTTTGGATTTAGATTGTTCATTTTTCTACACTGTTGAGGTGTAAAGTTAAATTGCAAATTTTAGATTTTTCTTCCTTTTTATGAAGGTATTCCTTACCATAAAGTTCTCTCTTGATAGTACTTTAATGGCAACTCATAAGTTATATTTTCATTTTCATTTGTTTCAACATATATTCTAATTTCCCTTCTGATTTATTTTTTGAACCATTAAGAGTGTGTTGTTTAATTGCCATGTTTGTGACTTTATTGCCCCTATTTTCTTTCTTCTACCAATTTCTGGTTTTATTCCACTGTTGTCAAGGAAGATGCTTACTATGATTTTAATCTTCCTAAATCTGTTAAGACCTAAATTTGTCTTTTATGGTCTACCGTGATCTATACTGGAGAATGTCTCATGTGCACTTGAGAAGATTATGTGTTCTGCTAATGTTGGGTTCAGTATTCTACACATGCTCTTAAGTCCAATTGGCTTACAGTGTTGATCAGGCCCTCTGTGTTTCCCTACAAATCTTACTGGTCTTATGTCCACTTGTTCTACACACTATAGAAAATGTGATACTAAAGTCTCTTACTATTATTGTGTTGTCTACTTTTGTTCATTAAAAATAGGTTACAAATGTGAAAATATTATATGATACTGATTTAAATTAATAAAACTAAAAAGAAACATAATGAACCATTTTCTTTTTTTTTTATAATGAACCATTTTCTGAGAAATACCACTTGAATGTTTAGGAGGAAACCATAACAGAAATAGCACTATGATCAAGAATATTACAACATATTCCACATCATAAAGTTATGCAAAAAGAGATATAAAATGGATTGGAAGTAAAGAAAAATATTATATTTCTTATCCTTGATTCCATCAAATCTTTAATAAATTTGCTTTAATCTGTGAAGACATATGAAATAGTATAAATAAAAGCAGAATATACTGGATACTATAATTTTAATTATTATTCATATGAGCTACAAAGTTGAATTCTTTTTGTTACAAATTATTTAGAAATTATTTCTGTAACAACTGCAAGAAATAGAAAAATCAGAATCTTCAACTTTTATCTTAGAAACTTGAAAATATTCCTAACTATATTAATAAAGACAATTCCAATTTTAATTAGTCAGAAATGTGAACATGGATATCGCATCTTACTGAGTCCTTCTCCTTTTGTTTTTATTTTATTAGTTCTTTATAGTTACATATAACATTAGGATTCACTTAACATAATTAAAAAGCATGGAATATAATTTGCTCTAATTCTGTCCCAAGTATTTCCCCTTTCCCCCCTCTTCCCTCCCCTTACTCTCTTCCCTCCACTCTACTGATCTTTCTTCTATTACAGTTTTTTGTTTGTTTGTTTGTTTGTTTTTTTAAGTAGTGCCTTGTGGTTACACATAATAACAAGATTCACTGCTGTATATACATAGGAAAGTTAGGTCAGATTCATTCAACTGTTCTTTCCTTACCAATCTTTCCTCCTTCCCTCTTAACCCTTCTTCAACTCCACTGATTTTTCTTCTTTTTTTGATAGAATTCTCCCTACCTTTTCTTTTTTTCCTTATTTTGGGCTAGTTTCTGCATATCTGATAAAACATTTTAACTTTGAATTCTGCTTCTGGCTTATTTTTCTTAGTATGGTAGTCTCCAGTTCCATTATTTAGTGGTAAATGCCATAATTTCATTCTTTTTTATGGCTGAGTAATACTCCATTGTGTATATATACCACATTTTCTTTATACATTCATCTGTGAATAAGCTTTTAGGCTGGCTCCATAACTTGGTTATTATGAGTTACATAAAAAGCTGAATTCTTAAAACATAAATCCTATGCTGCTTTGAGATAACAGGTTATTACTCTCCTTGACATACATTATAAATACTATATAAATGCAAATAAGATTCAAAAAAAGGACAGAATGAAATTTTAGAGTACTTGAGAGAACACTTGTATGTAATCAAAAAAAAATTCTGTAGAACTGAATTGAAAAAAAACTAACACCATAAATAGACCACTTTCTTTAAAAAGCACTGCATATGAATATATACAAATATGTATAGAAAATAGCACTTACCAAAAGACTATAAAACTGCTTAATCAGGACAGAAACTACTCTCAGCAATCGCATACAGATAGGAAAATATGGTTTTTCAACAGGTGCTGGGGAAGATGAAGTACTTGAACCTTGTCTGAACTTTATATTTGGAGAAAAGAGCTTTATCACAAGAGGACATACTCTTTCTTTGAGGAGGAAACTAAATTCCTGGTGCTATTTGCAAAGAAGAAAAAAGAATGAAATTAGTTCGTACTCAATACCTCTAAAATAGTCTTGCTAGCAAGTAAAAATCAGTATAAATAATTTAGCTTAATTGTAAGTATATATTTTATTATTTTACAATTTGCACACAAATTTGAAACTCACATTGCTGTTAAGAGGTCTTAGAACAAAATATTAATATTTCAACAGTTTCTTCAATAATCATTAAAAAGAAACATGAATTATTTTAGAGTTGAGGAACTGGTGCTCATTACTAGAAACTTTTAATTGGATATTGGTGATTAAAAACAAAGAATAAAAGAAAACAGATTTCACAAATACAAGCAAACAGTGTTGAATAGACAACTGAGGAGTGAAAACCTGATTAATAAAGTAGAATAAGTTATAAAATTCACTGATTATATTTTGCAAAGAATAATCCCATTCATATAGAGAAGATTTAATAAATAACTTGGTTTTGTGCTAGTTGGATTACTTGAACAGAACACAAGCTGATGAAATATGCAATGATAACCTAGCACAATTTTATAAGATGGAGAATTTTTTAAAGAATTCTTAAATTTTATTTGTAGTCATCATATATTATACAGAAAACTTTCCTTGATTCTCATTCTCTGTGTTACTTAAGAGTAGTCTCATTTTAGTGACAAACAAGGCACGATCTGCACTTAATGATTAACTTCAAGTATATTTTATTTTGGTGTTTTAATCACATAAAATTTCATTGAAGCTACTATTATAAACAAAGAAAGAATCATAAAAATCATCCAAGCTAATCTTTTTAATCTTATGGAAAAGGAATATAAGTCTTAGCCCCAAACTTCAAGACGCATGTAAGTCCAAATAACATTTTGCATGTCTCACAGACACTCCAAATGAATATGTATGAAACTAAATAATATATTTCTTATAATAAAAGTTCTGTCCACCGGAGTACTTCATCTTAGCAAATCATTAACTGCTTGGGCCAAAAAGATAGAAGTCGTCTCTAAGACTGCATTTTTCATCACCTACTAAACTATAAACTACTTCACTTATTGATTCAGCAATTACTTGCCAGGCACTGTGCTAGAGAAAGGGATACAGAATTAAGTACAATTTTCAATGCCCCTATCCAAGAGCTTATTTTTAGAAAGGAAAACAGCTCCTATCCTAATTTAACTGCTCTTGAAATACACTCTGCACGAAGTATTCTTTTTCCATTTTGCCTAAATCTAACTTACTTCATCCTTCAAGTACAAGCTTAAGCATCATCTCTTCTATTCATCTCCACTAGTCTACCAAGTTTGGTATCCAAGTTATTCATTTGCACAGTATTTTTTTAATTGTTTTTCCTGAAGAGCAGTCATCATGTGTTATCATTAAGTTAATACCTTTCTCCTCATTAGCTGTGAATGGGTCATACAGGCAAGGATTTTACCTGTCATATTCTTGGCATGGAACACAGACCAATACACTGTGAGTGTCTGGTAAATTTTGAATATATGTGTGAGTGATGAGTAAAAGAAAACTAATATCTGTCTCTGAAAAATTTTTTCAGGACTAAATTCTAAGATCTTTCATAGAAGAATTACTTTATCTCTCTGTATTACAGTAGGAAGAATAACATAGAAATTTCATGGGTATAATAAATCTGAATATGTTATTATATATCAGGAGATAATAAATACTATAACAAACAAAGAAGGATTGGAAAAATAAGTGTGCTGACATTAAAAAGTGTGCCATTTTACACAAAGTGGTTAGGGAAGAAATGCCTGTTAAGTAGACCATTGAGCAAAAACCTCAAAGAAATAAGATAGTAAACCACATGGAAGAAAAGCATTCTAGATCCAGAAAACAGTAAATAACAAAGGCCTTGAGGCAAGAGTGTGCTTGGGTGAAGTGTGGCTAAAGGGTGAGGCCAAAGCAAGAAATGAAATGAGATAAAAGACCAAAGAAATTGAAGACTAAATTATGGCAAGTTCCACATATCAAAACAGGGCTTCATCTTTTATTCTGGGTAAAGAAGACATTAATTGACATATTTTTAAAAAGGACTGTAAAGGCTGAGTGCGGTGGTGCATGCCTGTAATCCCAGCAACTCCAGAAGCTGAGGCAGGAGGATCGCTAGTTCAAAGCCAGCCTCTACAGATTAGCAAGGCACTTAGCAACTCAACAAGACCCTGTCTCTAAATAAAATATAAAAAACGGCTGGGGAACATGGCTCAGTGGTTAAGCATCCCTGGGTTCAATCACCAGGACCAAAAAAAAAAAAAGAGAGAGACTAAAAAGATATGACTTCTTTGAAAAACCCATTCGAATATAGTGTTACATACACATACAAGACCCTGGGTTCAATATACCAGCACTATCAACACACACACACACACACACACACACACACACGTAGCACAAGTGTACACCATAAGAGATCAGTTAGGAAACTAACACAATAATTTAGGTGAGAATGGATTTGACAATGATTATTGTGGTAGAAATGGTTTAGAATTAACTGGGCCCTGAATATATTTTGAAGATAATGACTGAGATATAGGATGTAAATAAAGAAGAAAGGAAGAGAAACTAATTTGGAATTTGGTTGACATGAGTTTAATTCCCAATTCTATCACTTACAAACCATGAAATCTTAGACAAAGTATTTAACTTTCTGAAAGTTACAGTTTCCTCATGGGGACAATAGGAATAACTAGTACTTTTAAGGCATTTGGGAAAATTAAAAGAAAATATGATGTGTAAAGAATCTGGCACATAGCATTTAGATGACAGTCAAACAATAGTGATTATTATGACAATAACAACCATTTTACACAAAACTATTGAACAAGTTATATCTACTGCTTTTCCTACTGTACCATGAGGAAAGGAATCATCAGTAAATACAATTCATTATCACCAAAAGCATTTAATAGTTGCTTAATGTATACCAAAAATTATGAACCACATAAAAGTAATTTTAGCTCAAATTCTCAAGCCAAAAAAGACCTTACACTATTTACACTTGATTCACACATTTTGTAGATAAAAACAATGGACAAAATATATTACTTAGGGAGGGAAACAGCACAGTAAGAGAAAGAGCTAGACTGTGGTTAAAAAATGCAAGTTCAAGGCCAGCCTCAGCAATTTAGCAAGATCCTCAGCAACTTAAATACACTGTCACAAAAAAAAAAAAAAAGACTGGGGATATAGCTCAAGTGGTAAAGAGCCCCTGGATTCAATCCCCAGTATAAAAAAAAAAAAAAAGTAAGCTAATACTAAATTATTATATGTCTAAACTCTGGGGCTTTTAAATCTTTGCATTTATTAATATATAAAAAATATGTTTTTTTGAAAAATATCTGTGAAAAAAATTAAAGATTTATTTTTTTAAAAAATACTATTAATGGCTTACCTGTAAAAAGACTTGTGGAAAATCATTGAGGACTGACTCAAGCAATTCAAGGCCAAATGTCCGAGTCATTTCTGTCATGCCTACTAGCCAGTAAGGGGCATCAGCATTAACCAATTGACAAAGATCCTGGAAAAATAAACAATTTCATGTGTTAGGAGGAAATGTGCTTTCTAAAAACTCAGTTTATGAAATTAAAAAAAAAGAAAGAATAAAGCCTCCCTTCTTTAGAAACTAAGCAATAGCTAATTTAAATTGTATATGTAAATATGTATAGAATCATATAACTATTGACAATATAAATAGCAGATAGAGTAGATAGACAAATAATTGATCTAACATTTTAAATGAAAATTAAAATTTTCAGTACAGATGAATTTTATTTTATTTAAAACAATTCATTCATGAGAAATGATATAAAAAGTAGGCTTCTATCAAATTATATAATATAGATCAGAGGTTTATTCTTAAATTTTCTTTGTTGAAAAAAATATTTTTTTGTATAACTAATCATCTCTAATATATCTAATCTCTAGTTCTAGTAATACATTTTTATTTCCTTAAAGTGAATTGCAATATTTTATTATGTTAATTAGCTATACTGTAAATGTAAAAGTTGTTTTTTAATCTTTTAGAACTATTTTAATACCTACTTTGAAATAGATTTTTACATTTTCACACTAAAAACTAAATTAGATATAAAATTCTAAAATGAAAGTCATAAAAAACTGTACAATAAAAATTATTTTTATCAACTGAAATACCTGGAAAAGCATATATGCATCTTTAGCACAAGGTTTGAGAGTACTGACAGATCTTCTGTTACTATTTCCTTGCACCAGTACTGGCTGTTCTATAATATCTGCAATCAAAATAGGATAGGTTTTAGGAGTTCATAGTGGCCTTTAATAAATCTTATATTCTGTTTAAAGGATATATTTTAAATAAGCTATTTAATTATATAATTATAAACTTTAATTATAACTTCAGAACTATGTCCCCAGAATGAAAACATAATTGAGGATCTATTTTTATATAAAATGCCATTAAAAATCACTCTTCATTATCTTATAATCACTTTAATAAGCCTTATATCTTTGTCCATGCATTTGATTTTCCTAAAATCCCATTTTGGCCTCTTTGTCTCACAGATATAAAATTCACATGATCTTTCAATGTGCCTTTAAGTATCAAATAAATGTAAAAAGATTACCTTATGGTTAGTTCTTCTATTATCTCACCATCTTCAAAAGAATTAACTGCCTGATCTGCCATTATTAATCTGTCAGCTATAGATATTCACTGGGTAAGAGTCAACTAGAATGGTGTTTCCCAACTTAGCACTTAAAACAGCTCTAAATCAAATACCATGCAAATATCCAATAGAAGACTAGTTCACTAAATTACAGAATAGACAAAAAATACAATGTAGCTATCAAATTTTAAATTATGTAGATAAAAGAATAACATGAAAAATCTATAAGATATAATGTTTGGGTAAAAATACAAACAATGCAGTATGTGAAAAAATACAAACTGCAGAAAATGTGAAACTATTATCTTCAATACAAAATTATGCATGCATTATAAATACAAATGGAAAAGCAAAAGCCTCCTAAATTGTGAGGGATTTATTTTCAAAATTGCTGTTATTGATAATAATATTTTAAAATAAATATCTTAAAATAAATATTTTTAAAGTTTTCTAGTTTTTAGATATTCTGTGCTCACAGGGAAAATGCTAAAAATTAATGAAAATGAATCACGCATGTAAGAACATTTCCAAATCAAAAGGAAACAACTTTTATCACTTTACCTCTGTATCGTTCATCTTCAGCAACCATTCTCTCAAAAACCACAGTAACAACTTGTCGCACGGTAGCAGCAGCTGTATTATTTGTAATATTATCTTTTGTGAAGTGTAGTCGAAAACAAAGAACAATTGCCTACAAAAACAATTTTCATTTAGTGTGAAATAAGATTGAAGGCATGGCCATTAACTTTATCAGATGTAACCTCAAATTAAATAATTTATGTATAACTGTTTCTCAGAGATTAGTGTCTCACCTTTTTATACAATAAAACTAAAATACCCTCAGATTTTAAAATAATTCAAACTCTTGGTAACCAATATAGCCATGTAAGATTGGCTAATGTAATATGAAATACACTTTTTTTAAAAATTTGATTTTTTGTTTTTGGTACCACGAATTGAACTCAGGGACACTCAACCACTAAGCCAAAGCCCCGGCCCTATTTTATTTGGAGATAGGGTCTCTCTGTTTTCCAAATGATTTGATGATACAACAAATGTTATATGCATAATTTTAAGAGACAAATATTGTATGCAATATTTTAGAGACAGGGGTCTCTAAATAAAATAATAAATAAACAAACAAACAATTTTATGTGTTTATAATTTTATTTATTTATTTGTTTAATTTAGAGACAGGGTCTCATTGAGTTTCTTAACACTTTGCTGAGGCTGGCTCTGAATCCCAATACTCCTTTCTCAGCCTCCTGAGTCCTTGGGATTACAGGCATGTACCACCATGCCCAGCAAAATTTGATTCTTTTAACATGTGTGTAATAATGCATCATGCTTTTATTTCCCCAGAATGACTTGCTCTGCAAATAGTTAGAATTAAACACTTGATATGTCATTAAATCATCTGGAGAAAAACTATACAAAGTGCTAGGTATATAAATAAATACACATATAGTGTGTTTTTATAGAGTCATTCTTTCTTTCTCTTTAAAATCAACATTATTAAGGTGTAATTTCCAACAATAAACTGCATCCCTTCAAAGTATATAGTTTAATGAGTTATGTTTGACACGCACGTCCTCAGAAATAGAGCCATAATCAGAATACACAGCATTTGCATCATCTCAGAAGTTTCTTTGGGCACCTCTGCAGTCCTTCTCTTCCTCTACCATTGGCCACAGTTAACCACCCATCTGCTTTTTTTTAGAGATTAGCCAGCATTTTGTACAACTTTATAAACAGATTCATTCACTATGTATTGTGTCTGGCTTCTTTCACTTAATTAATAATTGTGTTATTCATCTATGCTGTTCTATATGAGTAGTTGAATAGATTCCACGATACAAGTATAAAATTTTTGTTTATCCTTTCACCTGTTGATGATGACATTTAGGTAGTTTTCAGTTTGGGGATACTTTATATAAAACTGCTTTAAAAACTCATATACATGTCTCTGTGAGTTCATTTTCATTCACCTTGGGAAAACATGTAGGAGTGAAATGGCTGGGTCATCTGGTAATGAAGTTTAACTTTTTAAGAAACTGACAGTTTCCCAAAATAGATTTACAATTTTACATTCCTACCAGTAGTATATATGAGTTCAGAACTATTCAATATCTTCAAGAGGACTTGAAATGGTTAATCTTTTTAAACTGTATCCTAATGGATATATAATGATGACTCCTTGGGGTTATAATTTACATTTCATTGATAAATTATAATGGTGATTCTCTTTTCATATGTTTGCTTGCCATTTGAATATCCTATTTTGTCAAGTGTCAAAATCATTGATCCATTTTTACTCAGTTGTTAATCTTTATAAGAGTTCTTTATATAGTCTAGATATATGTCTATTGTCAGATATTTGCTAATTTTTTCCTCCATTTTATGGCTCCTTTTATAGTTCATGGATTTTGTACTCTAAAACATTTTTGCCTACCCCAATATCACAATAATTTTGCCCTGTATGTTCTTCTGAGAGTCTCATAGTTTAAAAAGAGGTTGTTTGTGAAAAAAATATAATGGTAAGTCAGATTCTATACCTTATTACTTTAATTATTGTTAAAAATTTTTGAAGAAATAAGTCTTTGATACCACTATTATTTTTTATATTTCAGTATAAAGGAAGGCATATTTTATAGATACATGGAAGCTTTCAAATTTCTCAATTTTGTCTTATTTCTTTATTGTTGATTTTTGATCCCCAAATATTTTATTTCCAATTTGCTAGCACACTAAAATGAACCCTGTGATCAGTTCTTATTTCTTTAGTAGGACAACTGACATATAAAAGAACAATAATTTGATAGCAAGAAACTAAGAGGAACAGTGATTAAAAGAGTATGCAAAAATACATAAAACATTTTCTGTAGCAGATGTGAAGTTAAAAGAATAAACTATTTGCTATTAAATAAAATCTCACAATGACCTAATAACATCACATTAACAACTGAAAAGAGGGAGATATAACCACTTGAAATAATATACATAGTTTAATGTGACAGTAGCCGGACATGGTCGGGCATGCCTGTGAGCCTTGTGGCTCAGGAGACTAAAGCAGAAGGATCACAAGTTCAAGGGCAGCCAGCCTCAGCAACTTAGTAAGACCCTATCTCAAAATAAAAAAATTAAAAAGGGCTGGGGATGTGGCTTAAGTGAGTGGTTAAGGGCCCCCAGGTTCAATCCCTGTATCCAGCCACCAAAAAAAAAGGTATCCTTCTTTATAGGCTGTCCTTAAAAATATGCAAATTATAATAAAACTATTATTGAAAATCCAAAACAATCCTTAGACAATAAATCATTAATTGAAGATTATTCTTCATATTACTCTGTACTTTTTATTCTTTAGAAATATTTCATAATTTTAATTAAAATGCTTTTATTGGTGCATTATAGTTTTACATAATAGTTGGGTTCATTATGGCATAATCATACATGCATGGAATTTAATTTGCTCCATTTCAGTCCCCAGTGCCTCCTCTTTCCCTCCCTTCCTCCCTCCCCCTATTACTCTTCCTCTACTAGTCTCCCTTCTGTTTATTTCCTTATAAAAAATTAAATAAAGAGTTAGATAAAGAATAAAACAACTGTTACATGTTCCAAGGGTGAGAGAGGTAAAGTGAGAAATACCATTACATATGCAGGTTTACCCAGTATAATACTGAAAGGAGACTAGATTTGAACTGTTTGGTTTATATAACATATACATGTGAAATTATTTTTAAAAAGAGAAAAGTGAGAGCTATCATAGGGATCTAAAATAGCCAAGGCAATACCATATGACACATTTTTCCCTCTTTCTTCTCTCTTCCTCTTGTCTTAACTAAACCCATCAGCAATACCTAAGGAGCTTTGCTTAAGGATCTTGACATGATTTTAAGTCTAATCTGGAGAAAAACAAAGGCACCAATGATTATTAAAGTACAATACTGATCATCATGATAACTACAGGAAAGTTGCTTTTGATTCCAAAAGCACCAGACTTGTTCTTTTCAGCCAGCTTATTCAAAAACTGTCTCAAAGCATTTATCAACTGACAAATAGGTTTCCTACCTTAGACAGTGCCTCATCATGGACTACTGTATTGGTTGTTAAGAGAACAAGAACTGTTTGAAGTAGCTTAAGTTCTTCAAGACTATTTTCCATTAGCTGCCAAAGCATGTTAATTATATTCCCAGCAGCAGTCTGTAAAACATTATTTTAAGAACTGTCAACAGGTAATTTAGGTTTTAGGTGCCAAAGAAAAAAAGGGGTCAAAATTACCTCATTTGAGAATATTCTTTATCAAAGTAACAAAAAAATCATACTTTTAGATCTATAGATCCAAACACATCTCTTAACAAGTTTGATACTTACAACCAATTAATAATATTCTTAAAAAAAGGTAATTTCCTAAAAATGTAACATAGCAACAAACAGCATGCAGTTCTGAAATACCTAGTCAAAATCAAAACTAATTTCTACAATAATACAGGCATTTTTCATCCAGTTATGGTCATATACAAACTAGGAGTCTGCTTTTCTTATATATTACTTCATTTATAATACATTATAAAAATAAAATACAATGCGAATTGACAATACATTGTATACTCAATTAAATCTGACATTGTTTAGGAAACCATACCAAGACCAAAAGAATTACCACTTTTATTGTAGTACTTATGGAGTACAAAATTAAGGTAAAATTTGAAAGCAAGATGCAGGTTCATAGTAATGAAATATTTTTTCTTGTTTTACCATCATCAGTTTAGATACTAACAATATATTTAAGTTAATGAACAACATATTAGAACTTCAGATAATCTAGAAAATAGTCATCATTTTCTCTCCTACCTTTTAAAAAACACAAGAATTTTATTAAATAAATTTTCAATGACATTGAAAACTTACTTGATTCTAACATTACCATCTATACTACTGAATTGTGACTTAGATTACAAATGACTTGACAAAATGTATTTCATCCTTATTTGTAACTTTTTAGTATTTAAGGAGACAATTTGACAATATTTTAAAATTAAGCCATTTTCTTCAAGTACATTGCTATTCACAAAACTTTTACATTAAATAAAAGGTAAGTTTCATTCTTTTATACGAAATATACAGATCTGACTCTATGTGCAGTTCAAATAAAATTTCTGTATTACCTCAGACACAACTTCGTGTGACATGAGTCTCTGAATGGCAGCCAAACACAGCTGAGTGATCTTCGGTTCCTTGGTTCCACAACCCATTAGGAAAGGCTGTACAACCTCTGAGCTGTTCTCTTTCAATGCTTTATTTAGAACACACATAGGACAAATTATTAAATCTAATTCATAATTAGGAATACATTTTTATATAATTACAACAAATGTCAATCTTTTAATAAGAACCATGTTGTATAATATAAACACCAAAATAAAAATCAAGTAATAAGAGTTAATATACTTCGGATGCATAGTACAGACTTTGTATCACTACAGCTTTCCTATGCCTTTCTCCCAACACTCTGCCCTTTCATTCTTCTCTATCTTCTGCTATACATTCTTTAAGGACATGGATTCTCAGAAGCTATTTCTTCTTACAGTGCAGAAGGGAAAATAAGTAAGAAGTTAGTATGCACACCATTCCCACCACACTCGTTAATGAATATTCAAAAACTCTTTAGAATTTCATTATATGCTTTAAATTCATAGAGCTCTAATCTCTTTTTCAAGAAATAAACATACATCATCAAAAACAATAGCATTTCTCCCTATATTATAGCATTTCTCCCTATATTACTGAAACAATACTGTAAGTTAATTGGATACATATGCTATAACTTCAAATCTTAATTTATATCTAACAAAGCCAAGTCTTCTCAGAAATTTAAAGGGGTGACAAAAATGAAGGAGGTTAGGAAATGCACAAACTGATTTACACATTTAAATTTATAAAATGGAATTAAGTCAATAATCATTTACTGATAGGCTACAAAAAGATGAATAAGACAGGTTTGTCACTTTCAAGGTATTTGAATAAATAACATGTGAAGAGAACATTAAACTTATGAGTTTGATACTTGTTTTCAAGGGTCCTAATTCCATCAATTATTTTTGGAGGAAAGACATGTCGTAAACACAATTAAATCTGAGTTTTAGAATGTTTTTCAAAAGAAACTGAGAGTCATCCAGACCATTATTAAAGTACAAAACCAATACTAACATTAATTTTACTCTTTAAGTCCTACTTTACTTCTCCCAAAGCTCTCTTTATGGGGGGCTTGGGTTGTGGCTCAAGTGGTAGAGCGCTCGCCTAGCACACATGAGGCACTGAGTTCGATCCTCACCACCACATAAAAATAAAGATATTGTGTCCACCTAAAACTAAAAAAATACTTTAAAAAAAAAAGCTCTCTTTATGGAAATCAAGACAACGATTTCCTAGAGCATGCTCTACAAAGGTCCCTCAGTACTTTGGGACCTTTGTAGAGCATGCAAAGGTCTACTTTAACATAGCTAAAAAAAACAGCAAATAAGACTGGCAAAAGGGCTCCTCTCCTTTTTTCCTTGCTTCCTTATGCACAAAGGTTTTCATTCAAACCTAAAGACAAAAATTTTCCATAGTGAAGTTTCAAAACATTAATGATTAAAATATGACCTTAAAGCTAATCATAAAGCTTTAATGAAGTGATTAAATCATCCTTCCAAATTCAATCATTGCCTGAATACTGAAGTCTGAAGCTACCCCATTTATGTTAAACTTTATCATTAAATGTTTATTTTATTATTAAATGTTGTTCAGGAAAATTAAAAATTTTCAGTAAAAACAAGTTGCATTCATAATTTTTGTGACATTAGCCCGTGTTTTTCATTGGAACATTACAATAACCTTATAGTTTATAGGGCACAATTAGGTCTAAGTGACACAGTAAGTAGATGGTACAAGAAGAATTTGAAATAGATCTTTTAATTCCTGGTTCACTATTCTTCCCAGCAAGTTATCATCCTGATGATAAATGAAGTTAAAAGAGGACTTAATCATTTATACTTTAAAATTGTCTTCCTAAGGGCTGGAAGTGTAGATCAGTGGTAGAGTATTTGTCTAGCATGTAGGAGGCACTGGATTGGATCACCCAGTATCACAAACAAATAACTAAAACTGTCTACCTAAAGTCTTCAGATAAATAAAGGAAGGGTCATAAAAGAAAAAAACAATGCATTTTCTTAAGAGTCTAAGATGCCAATGATTCAAGACATACCCATAACATCACAAAGAAAATCAAAGCCAATTAAATAATGGAAATGCTTTCTAATCACTTAAAAGTTTTCTGCACAACTTCATCCTCTGGAATACGGAGAATATTGGGAATACTTCATTTCTTCAAAGAGGACCTCACTATTGTTTCTGTGATTTTCTTCATGACACTATTCTGCAATATTTAGATGCTGACCTTTTTTATCGTACCATAAAATGTTAAAAAGTTAGGGGAACATTTCAAATAGCAATTAATACTCAACATATATGATATCAACAATGCATGCAACTCAATTGATGTGATAATAATATGAACAAATTAACACACACACCTACAAAGGAAACTATACCACACCTGACCCACAGTGATTCTAAAAGATACTATCATTTGTAAGATGAATACCAATTTAAGTGATGTTAAAAAGTGAAAAAACTATGAACCCTAGAATCAATAAAATAAGATGAATCATAGTGAAGTGTGTATACATATCCGTTACACTCAGGTCTACCAAGGTGAAATAAACTTAAGGTAGTAATAAAAATAAATTTTTAAAACTTTATTTTAATGTTATTCAAAGGAATTAAATACCTGTCTCTCATCTTTTCCTACTTTTCCGCTCCCAATTTATATAAAAATGGCAGTTTCTAAGTTATCCAGAATAGATGATCAACTAAATAATACAATTGATTCATCTATTTAACCAAAACACATCTACCATATCTAGATCACAATTCAGTAACAGAAAAATCTTTTTTTTTTTAATTACTGGTTTATTTTTCTTCCTTCAAATGTGACAGTAGTGCAGAAGTTAAAATTAACCTGGCTCTTTTAACTGAGAGAATGCCCCTCTTTACATACAATGGTTATAATGATATACTATTTAAGGACAGCTTTATGTAAATACCTTCCTAGGAGTAGAGATTTTAGAAATCACAATGAAGAAAAAAATTGTAGAACAATATAAAGACATCTTGTTCTAACTATTTTATATATCATTCAAAAAGCAAAAAAGAAGGATCGCTTGATCCTTTAAAACAATTTCAGCTTCCATTAAGATATAAAAAGAGGTTTTGTGGGAAGAAGGGAAAAAGTTTATTTTCCACCTAAGTCCTTTAATAAGCAACTTTAACAGAGCAACTGTGTGTTTGATAGATGCTGTTATTTCCAAATTATATAACTGTGAGATCAAATGATGCACTTTCACACACCTGAAAGAGGTCCAGCAGGTCCCCATATCCTAGGGGTTTCCTTGCTCTGAGCAGTTTCACTGCATAATTGCAGTTTTTATCCTGGAAAAAAAGAATTAAACTAGGATACCCCACTATAAATCACATAAACAGGGGTTAATAAAAGTTTTATTGTGATAAATTTTAACAGCCTTTAAATAACAAATTGTAATGCTTATGAAAGAAATAAAATGTGACTTAGACATTATTTCTATTTTCAAAAAGCTTAAAATCTGGTTCTGGGGAAGACTTGTTGATGTTTCTAACACCACTAAACATTTTTTAGTGGATTCAAAGGTCTGAAAATATATTTAAATGATTCAAGAATAATAGGAAAAATAAAGTATAGTAGTTTCATTTTAGAAGCACATTACAAGCTAAAAGGAAAATTATTCAACAATGTTAGAATAATTAGCAATTTTGCAAAAGAAAAAAATCTAAATCTTTATGTCATTCCATATATTAAAAAATAAGGAAAAAAATCAAGACACAGAAAAACTAGAAGAAAATTAAAATGACTATAAACTATGTTGAAGGAGAAGGGCATCATAAAAATATGATTAAAACATAATCGACAGTTAATATTTTGCTATACAAGTAGCTCAAATAACTTGATAAAGCAAACACAAAACTCAGAAGAAGTGAATGTAAAATGAAAAAGAAAATAATTTAATGCACACAGAGAAATATGTTCAATGTCAAAAATAAATGTCAGGGGCTGGGGTTGTAACTCAGCAACACAGCACTTGCCTAGCATGTGTGAGGCACTGGGTTCGATACTCAGCACCATATAAAAAAATAAAATAAACAAAATAAAGGAATTGTGTCCATCTGCAACTAAAAAATAAAATTTTTAAAATGTCAGGTAAAATGAACAGTCATTTCCTTGTTTTAGTACCAATTTTTTTTTCTAAAAAACAATAATGCTGACAAGGATGTTATAAGAATACACTTTCATATTGTTGGTAAAGGCATAAACGTTTACCTTCCAGAAAGGAAAAAAAAAAAAGTGTGGTGATACATTCCAAGCACTTCAAACATATTCATACCCTTTAACATTACAACTTTATAAATTTCTAGAAATTTATCATAAAGTAATTCTAAACATTGAATACACCTAACATAAAGGAAGTACAATCCAATTGATGAAACACTGTATGGCAATTAAAAAGATTTAAAAAGATGAAATCAAATACTTGTGATAGGGCTGGGGGTATGACTCAGTGGCAGAGCATGTGTGAGGTCCTAGGTTTGATCCCCAGACACAACCCCCACCCCACCACCCAAAAAACTTATGATATAAGAAAATATGGGATAAAAATTATTATTTTTTAAATCCAAGGAAAAAATAAACAAAAGCACATTATGTTGTAGACACACTATGTAATCTCTGGCCCAACAGGTCAACATGTGAACATGATACAGGCCCTGTATTTTCTAGCCTAAATTATCTAACAGTTATCTCTGCCTCAGTGATGGTATACTCAACCATATCTTCCACACTTTACTTTTAGTGGATCCACATAACACCAAGCTGCTATATATCTCATATGTTTATTCAAGCAGTCCACTTCTACACTTTATTTGCCTGGCTAACTCTCCTTTGAGCTTTTAGGCTTGCTCAGCTTCAGATTCCCAAGCTGGGTTAGGTGCATTTCCTATCAATCTTCCAATAACAATCTTATCTATATATTTCCATATTGGCCTTTACTACTCAGTATTAGAATTCTATAATTAGGGTCTGTCTTCTTCAGAGTGCTATTACCTAGTTGTCATAAACTAAGGATGACAATACATGTATTCAAATAATTATAACATGTAAAAATTAAAGAGAGGTAGAAAAAAATAGTAAAGACAATATTAAGAGACCTATTTCTATACAATGTCATTTATTTATTAACCTACATTTAATAAGAGATTTATTCTTTCCCTTGTAATATGATAAATACCAGCAACATAAGAAAGAATAAGATGTTGATACTAATTTCAGGAAGAAAGTCATCTGGAAAGTTAAGTTTCTGGCAAAGTACTCCAAATGAAGGAGCAGGTAAGCCAAACAGAATAAATGGCACAAACACACTTTTCAAATATATTTCTTGTATTTCCATATAGATTATATGTGAATTTCATCACCCAACTTTCTATCTCTCCTACTAATTTTTACATAAATACTTATTAAAAATACATTACACAATATATTCCATATTTGTTTGTAAAATATCACAAGCAAATGTATTGATAAGATAGAACATATTAAAATAAGCAGGTAAATTACCTTTTATGTCAGAAAAAATATCCGAAGTATATTTACTCATTGCTACTTAAAAGACCTCGTAGTTATAAGACTAAGCAGAGATGGAAAAGATGATGGAAAACCATGTGAGAAAAGAACACAAATCATACGTAATGATTATTCATGTAAAAATTCTGTATGTGTACTGACAACAGCTAAAAGCAGCCATGGGTAGACTTAACTATTACGTTTTAGGGTAGGGTTTAAATATACAATTTTAATAGACATTACACTTCATTGATTTCCTTGTTCAAACATATATTTAAAAAGCAGAATTATGTGATTTCTGTTTAACACATGCCTTTTCAATTTCTAGTACAGTGTCAGCTAGAATAATAATTTGTAATATATAGCAAAGGTGGAATTAAGGCATTTGGCCTTATAAATGAAAAACTTTGTTATTTCTCATTTTCAGAGTTTCATTTTTAAAGAAAAAAAAAATCTGAGATAATCTGTACATCTGAATCGATGCTGACATTACCTGGCATAGCATTTCCACTTATGTCAGCATTCATGACAGCAGTGAAAACAAAGAAAAATAAACATTAAAGGAGGATGCTTAAAAGGGGAGATGTAAAGCAAAGATTTATGTTGCAATATAAATGATGTTCCTTTGGAAAATAAATCTAAGAAACTAAAGCTGACTAGAAATCTATGCTGAATATCATTAATTAGATTAGTTAAGCCTAATTAAGGGCTCTGATTTTTACAGCAACTTTATATATTCTGAATATACAGAGACATATGAGAATTCAATATTCTGTCTCATCTGACTACTCAATTATGTGGGATCTTTACAACCATTACAACACAAAAGCAGTATCCTTTGATTTCAAGTATTAAAAAAATATATACTTCTCAGGAAACTTTTTAAATTAATAAAAATTTTTTCAGTATTAACTGATCTCTGAATTTAGGAACTTTATATTGACCAATATAAAATCTTTGTTTTTTCAAGATGACAGTGATCTATGAATCTATATTCTTTAGGCATCAATTGTTATCAATACTTCATAAAAAAAAATAACAGGATCAAGTTAAATGCTAATCTACCTTGAGTAAATGGCTCTGGAAAACTATGGAGATTAAAGCACACTATATGTGCACAAAGATCTGTTCTAACATGATTTGAATAAAGCTAATACAATTAAAATGAAATTAACAGTCTACCTGTATATTAAATTCATGTGCACTAACAATTTCTTATTCTTTCTTATAATTGGACATTTTACTTAGCATAAAACACTGAAATAGTGGTTCTCTGAAGAAATCAGGCTTTTATCTTCCACCAACTACAAACTAACGAAAAATTCTATTATTGGAGAATAATTAAGGACTTACCATGGTATCAACCATAATAATACCAAAGATAAATATTCACAATGATATTCTAATATGATTGATCTATCTTAAAAATAGCTTAGGTCATAATTTATCTTTAAACACTATTTCCCCTACAGTAGCTAATCCATCCAACATGCATCTCCCAAAATCTACTTGCTGTCCCTCCCAACCCAACCATAAACACCTTTGCCTTTTCCTACTGCATTCACCACCCTCCTCAATATGCACACAGAACACTATTCACTGTTGTGAATATGTTATAAAAATATATGATGTTTCCAATAGACTGATGAAAATCAGGGAAGAATCTGTAAGAAACAGATGCAACTCAAGAAAACTAACACTAAGGACCAATTTCCAGCAAAGCTGAGCAACCTAAGTAAAATCCACGCTTGCCCCCCAACTCTTAAACCACCCCCTAAAATCTTTATCTCATTTTGTAATACTCCGAAATCTCACAAATTAGAGATTTATTGGTATCCTTTGTTTTAAATGTAAAGTTTATGAAAATTCAAGAGATTCTTTATAGTCTTTGTGTTAACTAGCTTAATAAGACTATTTTTCTCTTACATTGGATGAGAGGAAAGGCACTGTTGGAACAGGAAATACACGCTGAAGGATCAATGGAGCAAGCAATGATTAAATATGAAGCACTTGGGAGAAAGTAGCTGGGGTGAAAAGCTTGAGATACAATGGCATCTGAAAGAAGAAGCTGGGCTCTGAACACTTCTGAATTTGAATCTGGTTCCATTACTTACCATGTCACCTTAAGCAAGCAAGTAATTTATTTGCATGTGAAGTTGCTCTACTATAAAATAATATCTCCCCACAAGACAGTCTTATGTAAGATAGAGTGGCACAAGTACTCACATATATTAGATTCTTTAAAAAAAAAAAAAAAAAGCCAGTCCATGTTCCTTACTGAGGTAAGAACAGAAAGCTCAAAAAACCAAAAAGGAGTAGACTGAGTAGAAAAAGCATACCAAATAGAAACTCTTAAAAATTCCTCTTTGAAAACCAAGTTTAATCAAGAAAAGACATAAAAAGAAACTCTCATTCTTTTCTTCATCACCATACTTAATTCCAAGAATCAAAACTTCAATGGTACTACTAAATATAAAATACTACATTATGAACTGTTTATAATAAAGATGGACTAAGAGGCAAGAGGTAGAACAGTAAGAAAAAAAATCTTGCTTTTAAGGAATTAGAACTTTTAATCTTTCTGATATTAGAGAATTTTATAGTATTAACTTCTGGGAAATATAATCAGTTTGGGACATTCCTGTAGTCTGTATCATAAATAACATGTTAGGGCATGAGAAAGACATGCTATAGAAAACTTATGGCATTCTTTCAAGATTCTACTTTTAGTATTAGTCAATTTTTCATAATTGTTGAATTTTTAATGGAAAAAATTACCTGTCAAAATTTCCGTGTTTCTTGCAGCTATTGTTTTAACTTTTATTATTCCTGATTCAGCAGCCTACAAAAATAAAAACAATTAGAAAATAAAACTTATTATCAACATGAATTATCTAGGTATTAAATAAGTCATATACAATAGTTAAAATTACAAGTATAGTCAGTTGCTATCATCCTATTTTTTCAAAGCATCAGATACTAAGCCTAGTAGTGACATACACATAGATATAATAAAATATGATTAATTTGATTATTCATATACAAACTGTATGTTGCTTTCCTCTGCCTTAAGGAATATCTGAAATATCTCAACACTTCACAAGTTTAAATGTTTGGAAAATAAAAATAATTTAAAAACCTAATGAAAAAAATTTGAATTTCTCCTCCCCATCTCACACTCCCCTTTCTCTACCACAAATAAATTATAAAACGCTGCACGTGAAATTACTGTTTTGTATTTGAGGAGACAGTTTTCTTTTTTGAGTATGAACAACCAAGCACTTATTATTCTTTGGTTATAGTTTTTAAATATTCATTCCTGTTTTCATAATGTGTATAAAATATTTCATCCCAACTGGCAGTAACTGCAATTCATATAGCATTTTATAGAACATCACAAGAACTGCACTGTCTAATATGTGAGCCACTGACTACATGTCACACTTGATATGTGGCCAGTTTAAATTGAGTTGTGTTCTATATGTAAAATACACACTAGATTTTGAAGGTTTAGTATCAAAAAATGTAAAGTCTTCTCTAAGTAAATTGATTACATTAGAAATAATATTTTGTATACATTGGGTTGAAACAAATAAATTATTAAAATTAAATGTCTGAGGTTTTGATCTTTATTTCCTGGGTAGTAAACCCTCTTTTATCACTGAGCTACATTCTCAGCCCTTTTTATTTGGAGATCAGGTCTTGCTAATTTGCCAAGGCTGGCCTTGAACTTACAGTCTTCTTGCTCCATTCTCCTGGGTTGCTGGAATTATAGGCCTACACCACTGTACAAATCTTTTTTAACTTTTTAAATGCAATTGAAAATTACACCTATGGATTGACTGCATTTGTGGCCCACGTTATCTTTCTATTGAACTAACATAAAATATTGATATGTTATTTTCCATCACAGAAAGTCAGAATATTTTCAGTATCTAGAAACATGGCTATTTTGTATTTTATATTGGTCTGTATACCTCAAAAAATAATACCTTAATAGTCAGCAGATTAATGCATAAAATAAAGAACACATAGTAGGTAGGCTATATCATGTGCAATAGACCTTTTTCACTTTGTTGATTTTTAACAGGTGCAGTCCTTGCTTGTGTTTGAAGAATTCTCTATTTCAAGAATTTTGGTAGAATACAAAATCTTTCTTACACTATTAAAACTGAAAATTCCAGGTATTTGATTTCTCACATGTCCTAGCAGACTATGCTTACCCAAATAGATGCATCTATCAGGGATTTTGAATATGGAGGATAGTGGCACAGAAAAGTCAGAGACAAAATAATTCTTTCCAATAACAGCAACAGTGAAAGCAACATCTAGTTTCAGAGGGCAGCAGAACCAGTGGTGGCCTGGAGTGACCAACCCTATCAGTAGTGCAATCAATATCATCTAATCACTATTCATCAGATAGCAATAATGGTCTAATGCTGTGGTTCCAGCTGTTTAACCTCCCCTTGTTGATTTACTTTTTCTATAACTGGCTCCATCCATTCTTCTACCAATTCTGTGAACCACTCATTGTCCTATCAGTAAATTTTATTTCAGCTTAAATCAGCCATCGTCAGCTTTCATGCTCAACTAAGAAACACAATAGATACACTACAACTTCTAAAACTTTAAGAAATGGAAATGTCCCAAATTAACAGGGCTACTAGCAGAAAAACACAATCAAAATCAAATTCTTCAGGGAAAAATTGGTTTTCTAATTATTTGAGGCAATACATGTTAGAGACAGGGAGCTTACAAAAAATTCTGATGCTCAGTCTGCAACTCATTCCAATTAAATCAGAATGACTGCTAACAGAAGTCATATATCAGTACTTTTAAAAATCTTCAGTTGATTCTAATATACAGTAAAATTTAGGAATCCTCTGCAATACTGTAAGAAAGAGATAATGGTAATGGTACAACTGAGGTGGTAAAAAGTGGCCAGATTCTGAATATGTTTGAAGATTTGCAAATCACAGCACATTAACTATTATAAAAATAAAAGAATACTGAAATACAGACATTATTACGCATGCTAAGTAATAGTCACACATCCTATCTCAAACTCTCTGGGGTAAATGTCTTATTGGGCCAGGAGAAGTTAATCTGTGGCCACTGAGATTTCTCCCACCATCACTTTCAAAAGTTTAACTTCCTTCCCAGTATAGCACTATATACCCTGAATATGTCCAAATTCAGTATTTCAATTTGCTTCTGTGTCAACCAAGATTTGAACAACTAAGCCATCAAGAATATCAATGCTATCTGTCCAGAGTCTGTCACACCTTTTCTTTTGCAATATTGGGTACTGAACCCAGGGGTGCTTTACCACAGAAATAAACCCCTAATGCTTTTGCCCTTTTCCAAGACAGGTGGCTTCAAATTTGTGATCCTCCTGCCTCAGCTTCCCAAGCTGCTGGGATTACAAATGTGTGCCACATGCCTAGCCTGAAATCTTGTTTCCAAAATCTGTCCTGTGACATGCTAGATGTTAGATGTCAACAGAGATTTCAAATTTGACAAACACTGTTTTGATTTCTTGAGAAGAATAAATATTGACACATGACATTTTTAACAAAAATTTTTTAAATCAAATAATAAGGAAAAGGAATAGTAGTATTTTTAAGTAGTCTGAAGTAGTGTTTTGTTGTTGTTGTTGTTTGCTTGTTTGTTTGTTTTTGATTTGGGGGGTTTTGGTGGTGATGTTGTTTTGTTTGCAATATTGGGGATTGAACCCAGGGGCACTTTACAACTGAGCCACATCTCCAGCCCTTTTCATTTTGAGAGACAAGGTCTCACAGGTTTCGCTACATTGCCCAGGCTGCCAAGTAATATTTTAAAAAACATAACCAGAGCTGGGCGAGGTAACACATGCCTGTAACTTGGGAAGTTCCCAGCAACTTAGGAAGCTGAGGCAGGAAGACAGCAAGTTCAAAGCCAGACTCAGCACTTGGAGCGGTCCTAAGCAACTCAGTGAGATCCTCTCTCTAAATAAAATATAAAAAGGCTGGGGATGTGGCTCAGTGGTTAAGCACCCCTGAGTTCAATCCCTGATACCCAAATAAATAAATAAAAATAAAAGATATAATGAGAATTTTCATTTCTAAATTCAAGGAATTGACAAAAGATTATTTGTTAGCTATAATTAGACCTACATCATAGCTCCTATTTTGTACATGCAAGTCTCTAATGTCAGAAGTGAAACTGTAATATCTTATTCTCACTGGCATCAACTGTTTCTGGAAAGTTCCACTAGCAATGTTTATTGACCACAGATATATATCAAGTCCCCTAACTACTGTAGTATTATTTCATACCAAAGCCTAGCCTACCCTACCATTTTTAGAGTATTCTGTATGGACAGAGATCTTCAGAGTCAGATTTCCATCTATTTATCAAGGATTATAGGTGTAAAAAGGAGTCTTTAATTCTTGCATTAAAGTATCTGCTATTTTGATCATATACAATGTAGAGAACTAACATAATTACATAGTTATTTTTTCCTAAATTGAGGAGGAGGAAAAGAGAAAGAAAAGTGGCTAGTTCTAAAACTTAAATAGATTATATAGAGGTTAAGATTTAAAAAAAAAGATAAGCAGTCTAATATATTTCTGAGAACATTTATGAGTTGGGAAAAAGATGTTACTCCCACAATTAATGTCAAGAAACATTTGCATCTATTTTCTCAATATCCTTTGCTGACTCTTCCAGAAACACCTAGAATATCCCTGGCCTCATTTCTCATTTAATGTATTCTTTCTGGTAATTCTTAGTTCCATAGTTTCAATTGAAGACTCCTAAACTATATTCCTTTTTTTTTTTTGGGGGGGGGGTACTGGGGATTGAACCTAGTTTTACCACTGGGCTACATCCCCAGCCACGATTATTATGTTTTTATGTTGAGAGAGGATATGTCTCAGTTGCATACAGCCTCTTTAAGTTGCTGAGGTTGGTCTCGAACTTGTGATCCTCCTGCTTTGGCTTCCCAAATCATTAGGATTACAGGTAAGCACCACCACACCCAGTTAATTATATTCCTTTCTTGACCTGTCTCCCAAACTATAGGACTTAACTAACCAAAATGCTTAAAAGGTACCTTAAATTTAAGATGTTAAAAAAGATGTCATCATCTTCCTTTAACCCCAAACTCCAACTTCTGCCAGAAAAAAAGTGTTTCTTCCTATAATCTGTTTTCTGAACAGCTGCATTACCCATCCCATCACTGACATCTGGGCTTTCTTTTTCATCCTACGTATTTAACCAGCCACAAAGTCTATTTGGTTAACATATCTTGTAGTCTTTTTCTCTCAAATCCCACTTCCACAGTTCAGTTCAAACTAATTTTCAATCTAAAGGGATCTGTCTTGCCTACAATCTTGTCCTTCGTATATTCAGTTTCTCAGCTTTTCAGTTGTTCCCCTGACCTACCTCTACTAATGTTTCTGAAAACCAAATAGTGTAAGGATATCTTTTAAAAGGGGTGGGGTGGATATCTTAGCCTTGCCCAGTCACTGAATAATTATGTAAATACAACTAAGAAAAATTTTTTGGTCTGCAGGTATAGCTCCATGATAGAGAGTGCATGAGGCCCTGGGCTCAATCCCCAGCACAAAAAATAATCATAACAGCAACAATAAAAACAGAAAAAAAAAAAAAAAAACCTTTTTGATTTTGGTACTAGAGATGGAAACCAGAGGTACTCTGCCACTGAGCCATATCCCCAGTCCTTTTTTCTTTTTTATTTTATTTTATTTTGAGACAGGGTTAAATTGCTGAGGCTGGCCTTGAACTGGTGGTGATCCTCTTAGCCTCCCATTGCTGGGATTACAGGCATGCACCCCA